TATCTATGAGAAGTATTAGAAAAGCAATTTGTTTTTTTTTTTTTCAGTTTCCTTTGCCAAAAGTGGGTTTGCCATATACAGATAAAAGGGCCATGTCATTCTTCTCTTTCTTAAGTTTCTCTTCTTCAGCAACACACTTCGTAATAAGGTTATTCTTACTTCATTTTGCAACAATGGTATTATAGACAGTTTTGATTTGCGTAAAATCGGTAAGTAGGCAATTTAAGGTACGTTTGGGAATGAATTTTTCATTAAGGTTAATTTAGTGAGATTTCAGCTTGGTTTGAAGATAAACCATCTTCATAATGAACTCCCTTACCCCTTCAACATTGTCGTATTTCATTTCTGTTAAATGTTTCATAAGACATCTGAACTCAACGTTATTAAATACTTGGTACCTCTCTCATAAAGCGATGAGAAACTCCTTAGTTGTCCCTTTATCTGAAAGACCACTCAAAAGATATTTAAAAACAATCCTTTTGATAATGATTAGACTCAACCTATTAGACCTCTCCTACTAAGCCAAACGCTTCTTTTGTTCAAGTGTACTTTCAGCATTAACTGAAGGCGTATTCTGACGCAAGGTTAAATCAAGATCAGTAATTCCAAAAAGAAATCCAAATCTTGTTTCCATTTACTTTAATTTGATCCATTTATGATCTCAACGGATGTAAAACAATTATTCATAGAAAAATTCAATGTCAAGACAAAACATGAATGTGTTAGAACATATCACAAGACAAGATATAGCTCAAGAAGAAAACAAGCTATCAAAGTGAGACCTATAAAACAACACATTCCCCTTTGGGCAAAATATGCTAACTAAGGTAATTATCCAGGTCAATACTCTAGGTGGGTTAAACCATAAGTACACACTAAGCTCATAAAATTGTCCCCTTTGGACAAATAAATCTCTCAACTTAATGCATTTTTCAATAACTTCATCTATATTCAACTTTCAATCTGTACATACAACTACTCCCTGTGGGCAAACAATCATATGTAAAGATTAAAAACATTTCTTAAATTACAAAAAAAATCTGTATGAACCAATACAAATGATCTCACTTTAGCGGCAACGATTTATAACAATCCACATAAATATTTTGTATAAGAATCAATATTCTCTTGTCTAAATTATGATTCAGTTAATAGGAAAATTCATCAAAAAGCATCCTTACTAGTCGTTTACAATCATTAATTACATTTTTAATATGTTTTGCATTTAAACAATAATAAATAAATATTAATAATAAATTTATGACATAAAAAATTAATAACAATCACAGTTTCATCAACTATGCATAACGACAAAATATCAATATATAACAATGATAATGCAAACATGAATATAATCTCATACAAAATAAAATAATATATAATTCACAGCAAAAACACATAAAATAAATTAATAATGTCACATGTTTGAGGATTGGTCGAACAAGATCACAGTCTTTGGTTTGATTCTCCAGAACTTTAATTTTAATTTGTTTTAATTATTAACCCTTGTGGTAGTAGAATATCCATATATAGCACTAGGCTTAGCACAATAGTGGGCTCTACAGTAGCATCCTATCACGTAGTTCAAAGCAAGTGCTCAGCAAAAGTAATTGGCAACAATATTGCATAAATATCTAATCACGCAATTCAATTGAAAACAAAACGGGTAGCAATTTGTTGTAGGTAACAACACAGTAATTCAATTATTCAAAATTGAAATCGAAGCGCTAGTAACTATAGAGAGTGGAATTGCATAAAGTAACTTAAGAAATTAAATTGGTTATGGGAGCTATGTATTGGAAAAAAATATTAGATATTGGAATGCAATAATGTTAAAATTTCAAATAAGCAACAATAGTTACTGGGACGTAACAACAACAATGCTAGTGGTAAGAATAAAAAATGGCAATTAACATATTGACACAACTGACAAAATATATTATAATTGGATGCTAAGTTATATAACTATGGCTCTGATACCAATGTAAGCACAAATTAAATTGAATCTAATTCTATAAATTTAGAACACCAATATATATCATATTTAGAACAATAGTAATATTCAATTATTTGTTATAGATATTGTGAATCATACTGTGAACAGCCTACGTGAGGTATAAATTCTTTGTGAGTGAAAAGCCAAAATTTTTCTTTGCCTAATCACGCTCTTCTAATCCTAAGTTCTTAACAGAGCAAACCTAAAGAGTAATGAAATGTGTTTCTGTGACGATAAAGAGGACTTAACCACAATGTTTATTAACCCTAAGCACCTCCCACATGGGCCTAGATGTTAGGCCTACATTATATTCCATATAGATCAGTATTAAGTACTTAAGGCCTATAAGTAATTGATCATATTATTAGTAGGCTTAAGTATTCTTATATGGATCATAATATTAGTTTTTTTTTTCTTTTTTTAAACAACGAACCACAATTGATTATAACTCATAAGAATTTTTTCAACGTAGAGCGTGTATCCAAAGTCGAGGTGAAAAGTGGCATTCTTAGGTGTCCAAATCAAGATAAGTGTGATTGAGATGGAAGGGTTTGTCCAAAGCTTTGGGGTCCAACATTTAGCCCTTCTCATGGTCTTTATATATCTATCTACATGGATGTGGTTACCTTTCATGTACATTTTGGAGTTCAATTCTAAGCCAAGAAATTATAAAATTAAACTCTTAAAAATTAAAATTTTTGTTGTGAATAAACTTTAACTTAGATGGCTATTTTTTAGAACAAGAAAATATTCACATACATTCTCTAAAGGTTGGTGTTGATGAAACTAACCTAAAAGAAATAACTAAATAAGACACATGAAATAAATGTCATAAGTTACATGTTATTTATATCAAATTTAAAATTTAAATAATATAAATTATCATTGGCTTCAATGAGTTACGAACCTTGATTAGTTATAACATTATGGAAAAAGAATAAAGCTCTAAAATGAGTTTTTATTGGTTAGAGTCGGTGGCATTCAATTCTTTAATAAAGTATGTGAAATATATATACCCTGAATAGTTTAGTGTCTACAATTATTGATAATGTAAATTTTTAAATAAATATATGCTAGATTTATGAAAAGTGAAATAAATAGTTTGGAGAATATAAATAATTTCTTCTAATAAAAATAAATTATAATTAAATAAATGTTGACTATATAATTAAAATATTTAAATAAATATTTTTATTATTCAGTCTACATCTACATTGTTATTTTCATCTTAAGTTAGTTTACTAAATTAATAACATTTTTAACAAATAAGATGTATAAACCTTCATAAATAAATATTAAGATGCTTAACATATTTAAACATAAATTGTAGTGAATAAAATAAATAATAAATAAAATAATATCATTTATTTATTTTTAATAAATGACATTTACTTTCAAAGTTTCTAAATCACCTTAAAAAAATATAATTGTTATTGATAAAATATAAGAACAAATTCTCTCTTTTGTGAGGTTATATGCTCTTGCCTTGTGTTTGCATATAGTAGTTATATGTTTCATTTTCAAGGACTAAGAATAGGAGATTGAAAATTGTATTAAAAAATCATGAACATCTTTCCGATAATTATCCAATTATTGTGATTTACAAGAAAATTTTCACTAACTTGCATTAACCATGAAGTATTACATGTTCAAGGTTAACTTCGCTTAACTTATTACAACTTTTTTTTTTATTATAATTAATTGAAGTTTGATATTTGAAACAAAAGTTTTATTAAATAATATTATTATTCATTTTGAATATTTTTTTCAATAATAATAATAATAAATTATTATTATTATTATTATTATTATCAAATTTTAATAAATTAGTAGAGTTTTAATTATGATTTTTATTTAGAAAATACCTTATTCAACTTTCATCATTTTAAGTTGACTATTGTTACAACTATTATTACTAACTAATGAAAATTATTATTATTATTTTGTTGAAAAATGTAAAAATATACTCGGCCCTATATTTTTAACAAAATATTATTATTTACTAGTAACTTTTTTCATAGATTACACGAGTATCGTTCAATTAAATTATTTTATATTATTAATTATAAATATATTGTATGATTTTTTAAATTTAATAAATTTTAAAAAAGAGTAAATTATTATTCTCAATAATAAAAAATATATTATATTAAATAATAGTAAAAACAAATCATAAAAATTTTAAATGAATATTGAATAAACATATAAATGCATAATGTAAAAAAATATTACTTTATATGTTAAAAAAAATTAATCCTTAAAAATTCATTGGAGTGAAAAAGCACTTTTATTGAAAAATTCGCTAAAATATATTTTTGTTTGATAATTATTATGAAGTTGATTTTTTTTTTTTTCTAAAGAGTATTGGTTAATAAATTTTAAATTGAAAAATTTAAAACTAGGAAGATTGAAAATTGTAAAATACAAAATAATTTCGGTTTTTAAAAATTTTAGAACTCAATTTTAATAACCACATCGAACGGCCTAGAAAAGCAAAAGAGTGAAAAAAAAAAAGCACGTGCATATTACTATAACTTTTGTATACAAAGTTTACACGCATCCCAATATATATTAAGTGACAAGAAATTGTTCAATTTTACTACGATCCAAATTAGGGAGCTATCTAATCATCCCTACACAATTGAGAGCATTTTTATATACCTAATTTGAAGAAGAGAATAAGAAAAATATAAGAGAATGCCAATGCCACAGCTCATTGACTCATTCTTACTCATAAAATTAAGATAATTTTTTTTTATTTCTTTTAGAACAACATGATGTATAAAATAAAAAATAAGAATTTATTTATTATTATTTAAAATCAATTATTCTCATAAAATATTTTAATTTAAATAAAAAAATAAAATTTATTTTTTACTTCACAAGTTTTCCCGTGATTTAAATCTCACGGTAAAATACAGCATTAGCATCACCATTTGTTTAACCCATTAAAAGGAAATAAAATAAATAAATAAATAAAATAAGTCAAGTTCTTACCAGCCACTACAATTTGGTCCTTTCCAATCATCCGTGTTCCCTTCGACTTTTCTCCCTTCTTCCATTTCTTCATTCTTCTCCATCTCCATCCGCTCCCAACGAAACCGCACGCAATGGCTCGAAGATCCTTACCGCTCCTCAAGCACCTCCTCTCGCGATCTGAACCCAACCCAGTCCGCCCCACGTTCCCGACCCGATCCGTGACCTACATGCACCGCCCAGGCGACGGGTACCCACGGCCGGTGACGATGATTCCAGGCGACGGAATAGGGCCACTGGTAACCGGGGCGGTGGAGCAGGTGATGGAGGCGATGCACGCGCCGGTGTACTTCGAGAAGTTTGAGGTCCATGGGGAGATGAAGGTGGTGCCTCAGGAAGTGATCGATTCGATTCGTAAAAACAAGGTGTGTTTGAAGGGTGGACTTGTTACTCCTATGGGTGGTGGCGTTAGTTCCCTGAACGTGCAGTTGAGGAAGGAGCTTGATCTCTACGCGTCTCTCGTTAATTGCTTCAATCTCCCTGGCTTGCCCACGCGCCACGACAACGTTGACATTGTCGTTATTAGGGAGAACACCGAAGGCGAGTACTCTGGCCTCGAACACGAGGTCGTTCCTGGCGTCGTTGAAAGCCTCAAGGTACCTACCCACGCTTTTCCACTTCCCTTCTTGTTTACCCATTTCGTATTTTCCAAAATTTAATTACAGTTTATTAGTTGTTTTTAATATTATTTATCAATTAAAATTACAATTTTAACTTTTATCGTTATCCTATGTCATCGCTGTAAAAGTTTAATTAATAAATAACATAAAAATGTTTAAAAAAATATACTTAAATTCTGTCATTATGATACCTATCATCTCTATTTCTGTGGGATACTTTTTCTTTTTTTAATTACGACCAGATAAAATTTTTAATGATTGATAATATGTCAAATTTCTTGTATAAGTTAAAAATCAGTATATATATCTTAACTTTTTTATAATAGGTTGTTTTGTAAGTTAGGAATCATTTATTAACCTCAATTGGAAAGCTTTTGTAAATTAGAAACTTGGCCAAATTATGCGTAGATGGTGTTTGGAATAGCTTCTGCTAAACTTATGTATACTGATCTTATGATGTGGTTAAGATCGTTGAAATAAACTTATGTAATAAGCTTTTAGGGTGATTCAATTTATTTTGGAGAAATAATTCTTATTAATTATTTTGGTTTCTTGAGAGATTTTTTTTAATCAAAAAGAATTATTAGTTTTAGATAAATAATTACTTTCTTTTGTCATTGTTTGAAAAGTTTGAAAAATTAAATGGTGATTATTTTCTAGAAATAATTTTTACCAAACATTTGCTAAGCCGAAACAAATATGCATGTTTATCCAAACGTTTCCCTATCGAGCTAAGTTGCTAACAAAGGAAAATGAACATATTCCTTTATCTTACGATTTCTAGAGGGCTATTCATTTTATGATAAAGTTTTGTTTTTTTCTCCATGGAATGTCCATTTAAAAATTAAAAGGGTGATTGTTTCCCAGAAATAATTTGTTACCAAACACTTACTAAGCCGAAACTAATGTGCATATTCTTGAAAACATGCCCTATCATGCTAACAAAAGAAAGTGAACATATTCGTATATTTTGTGACTTCTAGGGTGCTATTCATTTTATAATGAAGTTCCCTTTGCACGGAATATCCATTTAGCTTTTTTTGTTCCTGTGATCTTTAATATATACATCTCAAGAAGTTATATCACCTTGATCCTGATGCAGTATGGGTTTATGATTACCGTTCATTCTAATATTTTGCTAGGTGATAACGAAGTTCTGTTCAGAGCGTATTGCTAAATATGCATTCGAATATGCTTACTTGAATAACAGAAAGAAGGTGACTGCCGTGCACAAAGCAAATATTATGAAGCTTGCAGATGGTTTATTCTTGGAATCTTGTCGTGAGGTTGCCACAAAGTACCCTGGAATAAAGTATAACGAAATTATTGTGGATAACTGCTGCATGCAGCTTGTTTCAAAGCCTGAACAGTTTGATGTCATGGTATGTAAATTTATGATTGATCTTGCTTTGCGGCTATTTATGCATTTTTGTAATTTTGTTTAGTATATTTATGGAGTAACACAGGTCTACCCTATGTGTTTTGCAAGGTTATCTAAACTTAGTGCTATTGAATTATTGGTGAAGAAACAACTTTTAAATTGTGAGCTCACTGGTGTTTTCTCTATAAATTAATAACTGAGAAATGAGAAGAGGCACCAAAGACAGTGAAAATTTACAATAAGCTTAGGATAAATCATGTTCTATTTTTGCTATGGACTTTTAACTGTTCGTTCAATCAAAGAAAATTTTAAGGTTAAATAATTAAGAGAAAAAGTAATTCCAAATTTGACTGTTATGTTCTTTTAAGATTGTTGACAGTGGGAAAAAGGAAAGGAGTATCACTTTCTGCATATTGTCTTGGGTTAACATTTCTGTGTCAGAGAAGATGATTAGTATGACAAACTAGTTTTCATTTTTTGTGCTACACAAAGAGGATGGATGTCTTAGTTTAATATTGAATGACATGTAATTGGAACAGAATATGAACAGCCCTTTTTGCTATCTTGTACAAAAAATAATTATCCATTTCCACAGAAACAGCGCTTATCCTTGTGGAGATTGATAAAGTAAGGATTTCTTTTATGATAAATGGTATATAGCATGCTTTGACCTTCATGGTATGTTTGGATGCAGGAATTTGGAGGAAGGGGAGGGTGAGGGAAATCTTTTATTCTTCTATTAAACGAGAGGAATAAAATAAGATATCATCAATCAACATTCTAATCATACCTTCATCATTTTTTATAAACATTCATAATATTCAAAATTTTAAATTAAAAAAATAATCATCTCCCTTTCTCCCTTAACATCTCCATCCAAACGTATCTCAGGGGAAGTGGATGTACTTAATAAAATATTGAAGGGATGGATAAATTTGTCCTTTCCTTTCTATTGGTGCAAATGAGAGAATCATGGCAAAATAACCTCATATCTTGATTGTTCTGACTTGTAGCTCACTTATCTTAATTTCTTTCCTATATTTAGTCAAATAGAAGTAATTCTAAGTTCACACATACTGTTTGTTTCCTCTTGCTAGGTGACCCCAAATCTTTATGGAAATCTGGTTGCAAATACTGCAGCAGGCATTGCTGGAGGCACTGGAGTCATGCCTGGAGGTATGGCTGTTAGTTACTACTGTACTGCAACTTAGCGCTCTCATCTGATTATGTTGCCTTTTAAAAATTTCCTAGCTTGCTTCTCCAATATTACTAATTTTCAGAACTTGAAAGACTTGGTTCCGTGTATGATTTTGTGCTTGTCTGAATGATTGTTCTGGGGAACATATTTGCCTGTTGAAAAACTTTGTCAATAAATGCGTCTGATTGTGTTAGACAATCATATGAACCTGCTGGAAGTACATTTTTCTACGATAACATTGGGAAGTATCAGAGTGATAGCTTTCATTGATTACTGTGGAGGCAATGTAGCTGATGGTAGTGACAACAGAAGTAGCTGCAGTAATATCAGTGAAATATTGATATTAGTGGCTGTGATGTTATGTTAGGATCAAAATGATTATACTGTTGTGAGGATTAGCAGAAAGGGCTAAAATAGTGAGATGAACCATTGTTGGGAGTAGGGATGGAAATAGGTTAGCCTAGTAAACTTTGGATAAATAGGTCTGGCCTGTTTAATAATTTTGAAGCCTAAGCCTAGTCTATTACCTGTAATAGGCTTTTTATTAAGTTTAGCCTACCTTTTTAGAAGCATGGTTTGGTGTGTTAGCCTTTTCAATGGACATTTAATAGGTTATCAAGCTTCTTTATAAATAGACTATTAAACCAACTAAATATATGTCTTTTTAAAAGTCATAAGATTTATATCTAAATAAATTGTTAAAAAAATAATTCAATACTTTGAATATGTATAATAAAATTACATATTCTTATTGATCACTTTCAAACCACATATTTAATTTAAATAAGTAAATCATTACACATACAAAAAATATAATAAAATGAACATTAATTTATAAATCATTAAGCAAATTTAGTAGTATAAAGTCTTACACATTAAATCAATAAACACAAGATAACTAAATAAGTTTTAGACCTAAAATTAGCAAATGCAACAAACAAAAATTTAAAATGCACAAATAACAATATTTTTTTATAGTAAATAGGAAGAGACAAATATGTCATCAGATTTTTAAGAAGATCTCTTGTTGTCCATCAACCTTTAAAATAATAATAAAATTATTAGAATAAAAATGCTTTAAAAATAGTGATTACAAATATTTTTTAAAAATACTTCTAGAAGTTATTACTTGTGATTTTTTCATCAAATTATACTTGTGATGAATTAAATTTTTATAAATTATTAATATATTATTATATTATAATTTTTATATAAAATTATTTAATACATTATTATAAAATTTATGAATTTTAAATAAGTCATGCTAATAGATTTAATAAGTTTTTTCTTAAGCTCAAGTTAGGCCTATTTAATTAATTAAGTTTTTTAAAAAGTTTAAATTAAATCTATTAATTAAATAGTTTAGACCAGATTATACTATAGAAAAGTTAGGCCATAGGCTCTTTTTGGATGGCCAGACCTATTTCTATCCTAGTTGGGAGATGCATAGGCTTTTGGGTAGAAGTGATTATTGAAAAAAATCATTCTCCGTATCCTCAAAGTATTGCTTGTGCTTGACAGTTACAAACGGTGAATCCCATTTTTGCAGGTAATGTTGGGGCTGAGCACGCTGTGTTTGAGCAAGGTGCTTCAGCAGGAAATGTTGGAAGTGATAAAATAGTGGAACAAAAGACGGCCAATCCGGTGGCGCTTCTTCTCTCGTCTGCTATGATGCTTAGGCATCTCCAGTTTCCTGCATTTGCTGATCGTTTGGAAAATGCTGTGGAACAAGTCATTCTGGAGGGCAAATACAGGACAAAGGATCTTGGAGGGACAAGCACCACCCAAGAAGTTGTGGATGCAGTGATAGATGCTTTAGATTGATTCATTTGCTAATTTCCCCAAATGAAGTCAGCCTCGTATATTCTTTTCTAACTGATTTTGCCAAACATTGTTTTGCACCCATCAAGTTGAAAATAGCAATTTTGGTCCTGAATAAAGTTCATGCAACACAGAAAACAATGTATTGTTTTCTTTTTCAACTGAAGAATTTGTAGAGAAAGTGATTATTGTTTCCCACTCCTATTTAAAAGCCGTGATTCGGTATATTATTATGGCCCAGATATGTATTTTATAGTTCTTAGAAAGAAAACAAATTGTTTGACAGTGATTTTAGAAATGAAATGTTGTCTTGAAAAAGAATTGGATTAACTTAAAGCCCAACGACTGTGGTCCTTTTTTACAGTCCAATGATGTTTGGATCGTTGTCTATGATACGAGAATCCTGCCCCTACAATACGTGGAATCTAGCGTTTACTGAAGAATGTAACAAGATGTGAAAGACAAATAAATCGTGGCACGTTATTTTATATATATATATGAAACTAGTGCTAGGAGCTTCTGCTCATTTGGCAATGCCAAGCGCGATAGAACAATGAATACGGTAATTGCATGTTTCCATTACATTATTCTTACAGTACTTTTACAGTGAAATAAAAAAAAATAAAATACATATTTCAACATATTCTCTTGATTATTTGTTTTCCAACAAGGCACATTGTAAAATAGTATGTGTAAATTAGCGTGCTAATGACAGTTCATAGAATAATAGTAATAGCATTCTGAAATTGAGGGAGAGAGAGCAACGGCAAAAGCATTGAATAAATAAATCTAGATTTAATTTCCACGCGGATTGATGTATATATAGAATTATTATAAAATAAAATTTATTTTTAATTAATTTTAAAAAAATATTTTTAACTACTAAATTATAAATTCAATTAAAATTTAAAGATAGAATAAAATATAAATTAAAAATATAGATTATAATATTTTTATACTCTGATATAATAGCAATAATAAATTAAAATATATGATAAAATATTATTTTTATTATTGATTTAATCAAATATTTTTAGTGTGAGAAAAAATTAATTATCATAGTATAATTAAAAATTCTAGGATATTATTTTGTTATTTGAATTTCAATATTATAACTAAAGGATAATATTATAGTATTAATTATATATCTATGTTAATGTAATAACATATTATAACCAAAGAGAAAAAAAGGTGTAAGAAAGTAAATAAAATAGTAATCAGAATTAAAGTTACAATTTTGTAAATATAAAATAGAGATAGAACCTTGATTAAATAATATGGACACAAATAATAATAATAATAATAATAATAATAATAATAATAATAATAATAAAATACCTAGATAAAATAAATTGCAATAATTTTAGACAAAAAATTCTTAATTTTTTTGAAAAATAGAATTAAAACTTAAAGTATATTGAATATTATTGATAATTAATTTACATTAACTGTTATGAATCATACTGATATATAATTATTGATCGATTAAAAAGAAATTTATGAAAATGTAACTTTAATTTTTTATACCATGTAATATAATAAATATGATAAATTAAAATGTATAATAAAATATGATATTTATATTAATTTAATAAAATATTTTTTATATTATAGTAAAAAATTAATTTTATATCATAAATGCATGTTTTATACCAAGTTTTTTTTTTAACCAAACTCAACCAATGATCATCTATTTTATTTTACCATGCTCTTAGAACTTGTTTTAAATCATATAGAACTTTTTTTATAAGACACTCTTTATCTTTTTTCTTTTCTATACAAGACCTTTAAGTTACTCAACATATATATCTTCCTACAAAACACCATATAAAAAAGTTAATTTTATATCAAGCTAATAAATTCTCTAATTCATTTGAGCAACCATAGCAAGCAAAAGTCTTGTGGTATCCAAAAGAACAATTAGTGCGAAGGTATTCAAGTAGTCCACACCAAAAACTTGAGTATACCTTTCACCACAAGCCTTCCTTTATGTTTGTTGGTAGAACCATTAGCATTAAGCTTAGTTTGCACACTCACTTAACTTCAATCACTTTCCTACTTGAGGTTCCACTAGAATCTATGTCTTGTACATCTCTATCATTGACAACCTCTCTTTCGTTGTAGCTATCTACTTTGGATCATTTTTTGCTTTTTTGTTATCTACAAATTCACACAAAATAACATTGAACCTTTCATAAACATTAGAGAGTAGTATAGTTCCTCTCATGAGAGGGTCATTGTTGGTTCTTTTGGCAAGGATATCAAGATTTCATTTTAGTAAAGGAATAGAGGTTATCGTATCCATAGGAATTGGTAGATATATTCATAATTTATAAAATCTAAATCAATGAGTATGAATACAATACGACAATAGAAATGTTAAAATGCAAGGATTAAAAATTGGGATTGGATTTCATCATTTATTATATTTTTTATTCAAATGATTTAATACAGAGAAATCTCTCCTATAGAAGTTGATGCATATGTATACTTTTTCTTATAGCAATTCCCCACATACAAGTTTTCAAAAATATTTCTTGAATAACGATCCCCCAGTTATTCAATGAAATCCTCCAACATTAAAATCAAGTATTAAAGAGCAATCAATATATTGAGACTTATCCCTATCGTCACAATACATGGAGTGAGGTTCACTCAATCCACAACCAAAGAGTGCTCTCGAGCTAATTTGTGGATCCTAAATCAAGATACTATTGGTTAAAATATAATCAAATATTAAAATAGAGTGAAATCACCACCTGTAAAATTGGAAAAGTATATATAAATCATCAAAATATATCTAAGTTGAATATTACATCCAATCCCAAAAGAAGTTTAGCTACCCATGGTAACTATTACAACAAAAGAAAGAGATAAAAGAGATTAAGATTGATGCCCAATGCTTCTTTGCCCTAGCTTTTTCTTTTCTAGCCTCTTTTTCTGCTCTTTGTTCTTTTCTAATTTTTCTTTCTTAAAGGGTGATTTAATGAATTCTCGCTCAAGTAAGAGAAATTATTGCTTGAGCTAAAATAAAATTTTCACTCAAGTTAAAAATTCTCGCTTGACCTAAAATCAGGTATTCCAATTTTTATTTTTTGCATTTTCACTTAAGTGAGAAATCTTTCGCTTAAGAAAAAGTTTGGCAGACTCATTTCCTTCCTTTCTTCCTTGCCTTCCTCCCTAAGTTCATGTCAAATAAAGAATTCAATAAAAATGGATTAAGGAAAATCTTCATCTCTATCTCTAAATTGAAATAATTGGTTAATTCAAATTCTTGCAAATTAAAAAGAGAATTGAAACTCAAATTAATTCATTTAAGAAAATAAGTGTCCTAACTTATGTTACAAATTATAAAGATTATCACTTACTAGTCATCTACTGTTTCCTTTTGATAGCTATATTCTTCTCCTTTAGTACTTGTACAAAACTTGAGTTTCAACTTTGTCATGGAATGATCCTTCTTTTTCTCATCATCCTAGTTTCACTCCTCATCCTCCATGAAATTCACATCCTTGCTAATAATAATATTTTCAATTGCCGCATGCTAACAGCGTTATAGCCTATAAAAATATTCTATGCTACTTTTCTATCTAGCTTGTCATACTTGTTCTGTAGAATATGAGTAAAACACAAGCAACAAAATATTTTAAGAAATTTCAAAGATACTTTGTAACCATACCATTCCTCAATGGTGTTTGGTCTTTCACTACTTTTGTAGGAAATCTATTTTGAAGAAATACAATCATGTTTGTTGCTTCTGTCCAACATTTATTTGGCAATTATTTTTTTTATGCAAGATGCATCTTGACATTTCCATAATGAATTTGTTTATTTTCTCATTGACTTTATTTTGCCATCGAGTATAGGGAGCTATAAGTTGATGTTCAATGCCTGCATCCTGACAAAACTAATCAAATTTTGCTGAGGTATACTTCTTCCCATTGTCAAACCTTATAATTTGAATTTTTGTAACTAATTTCATTCTCAACTCTTGCCTTGAACATCCAAAATATTTGAGCTACTTTTGCTTTATGATTTAGGAAAAAAAATTCAACACATTCTAGTGAAGTCATCAATGAAGACAATGTAGCAAAGACTACCCTTTAGAAAAGGTGTCCTTTGAGGGCCTCATACACATGTGTGAATCAATTGTAACTTTCTTAATGTTTATTTAGTCACCTTGAGAAATGGCTTTATGTTAAGTTTTCCAAATTAACATCTTTGTAGGATGGAACGGGATCTTTAAATTCTGCAAAATCAATTTCTAAGCTTTTTAACTTCATTTGTAGTAGTATTTGGTGATGATAAAGTCTGAGCCTCTTGTGCCAAACTTCTGTAATGTTGATGGTTTTCTTGATTAGGAAGGAAAAGTGCTCTTTCACCCGTGGATTTAGGGCAAAAATTTTTCTTTTCATTTTTTTTTTAAAACCTCAATTTGGTGCATATCTAGTTAGTCAATAATTGTCTTTGAAAGCAACTTTGAAAACTCTTGGCCAACACTCAATAGATTTTGTTGAATTTTGAGTACAAAGAGGACATCAAGAATAAACTTTGTACCCTAGTAGCTTGTTATTGCAATAGTTCTCTTTCTTTAATGACCTTTGGGCTCAAGTTATTAGTAATAAATATAAATTTATTTTTGGTAAAAATCTTGGTGTTGGGAAAAGCTAGAAAGTCTCTCATTTTTGGAAAAGTCTAATTCTGTTATGCCTATGTTTTCCTAAGTGTTGAGCTAGGTCATATAGGATGGTTTATCCACTACGTTCTAGATTGATAACTAGAATCCTCTTATTAAAAATTTGCATATTTACTCCATCCATCCCTATCTCTGATATGAATTTGGATATCCTTGTGACTATTGTCCAAATTAATCTCTTTGTTATTTCTAGGGGTCATGATTCAATATTCTAGACTATGTCAAATTACGATGTATTTTCCATTCAAATTGCATACTAGTTACTCACTAATTCCTTCCAAAATTCTTCTCTTTGCCATGATATTTTTAAATTAATTTGGAAGTGGGAAGGACTTCCTAAAATTGCTCTATTTTTGTGAAAAATATCTCATGAAAAATTGCTAACTAATAAGGAAAGGTATAGTGTCAAATTCCTCTATTTGTTCTAGGCACAGAAAGGTACCTGAAACTATTATGCATTTGTTTGTGATTATTTTTATGCTAGACATATTTTGGGATCACTTTGGAAAGATAGAAATGTTTTCATTTTTCAGAATTCTCCTATCCATTGGTTTAGAAAGTTTTATGTGATATTTACTAAGCCCTTTTAATTACCATATTCATGTCAAATGGACTTCCCACTTCTAGTTTATTTAAATTAAAGTGGATGACTCAGTCTCCCATTCTCATGGAGCCGTTTGTGGGGACCTAATTTGTGATGGCCAAGGCTAATTTATAACTAGTTTCTATAGTAAGCTTTTCTACTCTCTTCTTGATGTTAAACTTTGGAGTATCTACCTGCAGGTGTAGTTGGTCTTACAAAAGAGTATCCAGACTATTTGAATTGAAAGCAATTCAAACAAAATATTGGCTTTAATTTTGAACATTTAGAACAATTCTCATCCTTTATTTTCTCTAAAAAAGCTAATTAATGTAGTAATAAATTAGTTAAAATAGATGTGGAGGACTCTTTACCTTACACTTGCCTTGATGTAGCTCCATCCTCCTTGTATCCCTATTTGTGTCTTGGTGCCCATGACATTTGGACTACTAGGGTTGTTTCTTAACCTTGTTTTGTATCTTGGGCATTTATCCCTATTAATTAGAGAAAAAAAAACACCAAAAAAACACATAGTTAAGTACTTCTATTTGAGAAAGGTCTTAAAAATGATTTTGTTTAAAAATTAATTTTTGTATATTTCATGTTGATGTTGATAGTATTATTTTATATTAAATAAAATTATGTAAACATAGTTTTTAAATTTTAAAAAAATTATAATATTCAAAATTCAAATTAAGATTTTAATATGAAATGATATCAAGATTTAAAAAGAGATAAAATTCCTTTCTTGGTGTTTTAATCCTCTAGTTTTAAGGTAAGTTTCAATTTCATCTTTTAATTTTTTATTTATTTATTTTGGTTCTCTAACTTTTAAAAATTCTTCAAATAGGTCTTTTCTGTTAAAAATGTTAACTTCATTAAAAAATTATTTTTTCTATCACATGTATTGTTCATGTACTATTCACCTTCATTAGATCTTCAATTTTAGCTTTCTCCTCCACCCTTTTCTCTTTGATCTCTCCTTCATCTTCCTCTTCTTATTCTTTCTTCTCTTTCTTTTCAAAACCTCACACAATTAGAAATAATGTTTCAGATACAATGTTTTATTGACCTTGCTAACAACGATGGAGGTGAGGAATAGTTAATGCACTAACAAGGTCGGTAAGTAGTGACTTAGAGAGTTAGAGTGGATGGAGGCTAAGTTAGGAAAAGAACTCAAAGGCTTCTTGGAGGAGGTGTGGCAAGTAGCAACAAAAATTTCTTAGACACTGCAAATGACAGTGTCAACATCAATCTCCTCATTGTGTAAGGTTTTGAAGAGGATAAAGAAGGAAAGAAAGAGAACAAGAAAAGGGATAAAAAGAGAGAAAAGAAAGAAAAATAATTAAAAGAAAAAATAAAATTAGAGATTTAAGTCACAATGCACAAACTACAAGAAAAACAAAAAGAATTAATGAAGTTAATGTTTTAATAAAAAAAGATGCATTTTAAGCATTTTTAAAAGTTAAAAAATAAAATTGAAACTTAAAGACTAAAATAATAATTTGTCAAATTTAAAATAATTTAATACATGAAAATTTTGAATAAAAAGCTAAAATTTAATGTTTATAAATAAAAATAATAATTAAAAACTGATTCTTATCGATTGAAAGATTAATGAATCAAATTCAAATTAATTTATCAACAATTAAAATCGTGTTAATTGGTTCAAATATCCAAAAGGTTACTATTAAATATAAATTATATTAAAGATACTGTCGATGTTAAACAATTTTAAGTTTAGACAATTATTTTATTCTAAAAGTTTAGTACTGATAAAATTGTAAATATTTTGGTCCTAATGTTAATAAATAAATAAAAGTGTATTTATTATTAATCTGATGTATAACTTAAATTAATGATAAATATACTTTTACTTTCTTTTATGCATTTTCTTAAGTTTTCACTTAGATTCAAATTTATTGATATCGATAAATTTTTTTCATTTTAAAAAATATAAATATATCAACAAATATAATAATTATATGTATATAAAGTCAACAACAATATTTTAAGAATTATTAAAAAATATATAATGAAGTCATATTATTGTTAAAATTTAAATTTTAAACAAGTCTTTTGTTTTAAATTATAACTTTTTTATTCACTAAAATTTGTTTTAACGGAAGAATCCTCTTTTAAATCTTTTGATTTTAATTTCTTAAAGTATAAATTGAAGTATATTAATATAATTATTTAAGGAATAAAATTATTAGTATAAGTATTCAACCTTTTAAATATGTACCATTTAATAATTTTATTTTTTCACGTAAAATACATATATATATTTTTCTATTGAAACTCGAATTTATAACAATATGTTGAAATAGAATAACTTCTTATGAGAGTATTTTAAAATTTGTAGAATTTTTATTTAATTATAAGTTATTAATATTCATATTTATAGTTAAAAATACTTGCGTCACTATGCCAGAATAGAGATCTGAGAGCGGTTCTGGTTTAAATTAAAAGAATATTTAGAACTGTTCTAAAATTTTGAGCTATCTGATGTGTTATATTTAAGAGAGCGGTTAAACAACCGTTCTCAAAAGTTAAGATTGAAACTCCAAAGTATAGGTGTAAGACTAGATAGCGACAAACGCTCTCAAAAGTTAAGATTGAAACTCTAAGGTATAGGTGTAAGATTAGAGAGCGGTACCACGTGGAACCGCTCTCCAAAGTATAAATGTAGACCGCGAATCTGAAATTTGAAATTGGTTTCTTTTTGAGTTTTTTACTGCAAAGTAAAATTAATTTATTATTACGTTTAAATCAAAATTTGGAATTAATTTTTTTTTGTGAGTTTTCTTCATTTTTATCACAAATCAAAATTGAATCTTGAGTTTATACGTTTGGTGTTAACCAGACAGTCTACATCTGCATAAACCAAACAGAAAAAAATAAATAAATTAGTAGAATAATTTTTAACGTTAATAGAGAGAAAAAAGAAAAAAAGACAGAATGAAGAAGTACCTACATATGTGGAAAAAAAAAACTAATTTGTTAGCTTAGAAAATATGAAGAGAGCAAGTTAACAAAGAATGAAGATGTACCCTACATATATGAAAGAAAAATAAATTGTTAGAGAAGATGAAGAGAGCAAGTTAACAGAGAATGAAGAGATACATGCAGATGCGAAAAAAAAATCAATTTATTAGTCAGAGAAAACGAAGAGAGCAGACTAATAGAAAAAGATGAAAAGAACATAAGAGAGTAGAAAAGACAAATAGAATTTATAGTAAAAGAGACTAACTTTATTAGCTAAGAAGAAAAAATGCATTGAGACATGTTCAATTTATAAATAATTTGAAAGACTTTAGAAAGTTGTTCTTTATTAACCGCTTAACAAAGAACCGCTCTAAAAAATATAGATCATAGAGCAGTTAACAGAGAATCGTTTTCTAAATATATAATTACAAAACAGTTTTTACTGCCTGCTGTTTAAATTAACACTCCAAAAACTTATTTTTTATGTAATACGTTTACTTTTGACGTATACTTTTTTAATTAGAAAGCAAAATTTACACGTAACAGAATGTAAATATAAGATTTCTTACCAAGTTAATCCTAAACGTATTAACAAATCTTTAACCCTTTTGAGTTTATGCTCTACATGTGGGACCTAAAATATTCATTCATTTATCTAAAACGTTGTACATACAATGTCTTTATCCATGACCCCAGTCACTGTACACTATACAAATTGATGATTTTGTCGATCCCCTCTAAACAAATAAGCAGCGTTACGTGATTGCTTCAACTACGTTGTTACGTACGTACTCACACTCTCACTCTGCTGCCACAGAAAATAAAAATAAAAATAAAAAATTCACAGAAATTTTCTCAGCATTGAACCCAACTCCTATGTTTGTCCTCCACATGATAAACTCGTCACTATACTGCTGCTAAAATAAACAGTACAAATTCTCTTCCATTGAATGATCTGTCATCCGTTTCTATTTGCTACAATGAAAAACAGCTTCAAAACCATGCCTTGGACCCGTTCTCTATGGCATTTACGATCAACTCAAATATACTCAGTTCATCATTCACAAAAAATTTGTAACTTTTCCCGTGGTCCTGATCCGGGATCATGGGAATCAATGGAGGATCTACTTCGTTGCTCTGCAAATTTTGTTCCTTTGTCTCCTATCAGTTTTCTAGAGAGAGCAGCAAAGGTTTGCAGTGACAGAACCTCGCTTGTGTATGGTTCTCTGAAGTATAGTTGGACTGAAACCCATCAACGGTGTCTGAAACTTGCTTCTTCTTTGACCCAGTTGGGAATTTCCCGCGGGGATGTGGTATGTTATTTATGAAATCTATCATTTTTATGATTTTAATGTTATAATGTTTCAAAATTTGTCATGTTTCTAAATTGATAGAAAAAACAGTGACGTTTTTGCATCTGTGTGCTGTGTGATTAGGCTCTTGATTGAGAAGAGCAGAGACATTGGCGATTGACCAATTTTAACACTTAATAGTTGACCCAGAAACAAAACAAAACAATAGATTGTGATATCATAATAGAACTGAAGATAAGATGGGCCTAAATCGTTCCGGTTTCAATTATGTCGCAATTTTTCATATTGCAAAATATTTTAGTTAAATGTTATTGATGTATTCGTAATTACTGTCTCAGATACCAGAAATATTTTAATATTGTGATTTGTGTCTGTAATTGCGGCTGTAACAATGCCTAATTTAATCCCAAAAGCAAGTTAAAGGGGAGAGAATTATCCAACTCGTTCTAATAGATACTGAGGAAGCCAGGGTGGGTCTAAACGATCATTGCCGATTTCTGTTTGCAACTTGACTTTTCTTCTGCACTGCCTTGATTAGATGTTTCTATAAACTGTGCTGCACTTTTAGCCGCGCTATTTTTCTTTGATGATTAAAACCAGCTAATTAGTACTCATTCCAATCAGTACTACGAATTGAGTGGTGAATGGAATCTTAATTTAGAGACTGGGAGAGATTTGTGATGTAGAAGAAACTAGGTAAGAACAAGGGAGAGCATGGACAATGTGTTTTTAAAATCTTGAACGAGGGTGCTTATGTTTCCAGTGTGCTGCAGCCCAATGGGACAATGGTTAATCGTTTGGTGGAATTACTAAGCTGTTATGTTACAGAGGAAGGAAATAGAAGATTGGTTCGTGGCTTGGTTGGGTTTAACCAATGCTTCATGTCTCTTAAGACTTAGACAAGGATTGGGAATTTAGATTTAAACGTTTGCCAAGATAAAACTTGAGGGGTCAGGGATTAAACTCGAGAAAAAAATAATTTGACCATTAAAAAGAAAGTTATAAAGCTGGAACATGACAAGCATTTGTTGAATCTTTTAGTTTTAGAGATTCTAAAACCCTTTCGTCAGTCCGTACTTTTGAAAAATGTTAATAATTGAATTATGGCTTGTTGAAATCAAGAATTAATGGAGAGCTTTAAAAACTTGACAGACTAAAATATTCAACTCATGCAGTTGTCAAGACTAATTTACGGAGCTTTTCAAGTAACTAGCTTAATTATGTGCTTGTTTAATAAATTATTTTTATATGAGAACTTAAGATATGAATTCGACCATCAAACTTATTTTTAAATAATAATGGACAAAAATCTTAGTAAGTTCTTATAATTTGTTTAAGAGTTAAGAGAAAGTGAGAAGAAAATAATTTTCAAAACATGTGATAAGAGGATTTATCGAGACTTTATCTTTGCTTTTTTACTTTATCTTTCAAACTCTTTTTCTTTCCTCTCCTAAACTCCTGGACTTTAGTGGTCTTTATGAGCAAGGCAATGTTCTCTTGGCAGTGTGGAAGGGTAGCTAAACCGTTCCATATTTCACGGAACATTGCAATCACCATTAAATTATGTCGACTCACTCTCACCATATTAATTTTGCTAGACAAATTGCTAACGTGGGCTCAAATTCACCATCTTATTTTTGTTTAATCTTGCACGAGAATCAAAGTTTCAAGCGCTCAGGAAAATGCTTTTAAGTGAGGATTTGTTGATCTATGGAAATCACCACATCCCTTCCCTTCCTTTTCAGTATGGAAACATTCCCAACGTGCCTTTCCTTTCCCTCCCTAAAGCCCCCATCAAAATACCCAAGCCATTTAAGATCAACTCACATATACTCAGCTCATCATTCACATAAAATTTGTAACTTGTCTCTGGATCATGATATGGGATCATGGGATTCTATTTGTTGCGCTGCAAATTTTGTTCCTTTGTCCCCTATCAGCTTTCTAGAGAGAGCTGCAAAGGTTTGCAGAGACAGAACCTCGCTTGTGTATGGTTCTTTGGAGTATAGTTGGGGTGAAACCCACCAAAGGTGTCTGAAACTTGCTTCTGCTCTGTCCCAGTTGGGAATTTCCCGTGGGGATATGGTGAGTTTATTTTGATAACGTTTTGCATGTTTATACAATAATGAAGTGTGAATTCTTTAGTAACAAACTTATTGGATCCGTGTTCTGAGTAGTCTTGATAAAATCATATTTGTTGTGCTTGTTTCATTCTGTGCTCAGGGTCCTTGTTAAAACTGGAATAGAGGGATTTGTTGAACATTATTGGAATATATTTTTACTCTCTAAAATACGATTGTTCTTAGTCATTTTAATAATTTTATTTAAATTTAGTCTGTATATTTTATAAAAATTAATACTATTTTAGTCTCTTGTCACTATTTAAGGACTAAAAGGACAACAATTGTCTAAATTAAAAATGAATAAAATTTCAATAGAGATTAATTATAAAAGTTGACGTAATTTAAAGATAAAAACATATTTAAGCCTTGTTCAAGTGACGGGGTCATGGTGATTAGTTCAACTAACATTGCAAAGGTTTAGGTTGCTACGACAGAAATTTGGAAGACTATTGGATAGCTAACAGTTTTGAACTGAAATGGAAATTTTTTTTGACGAATTGAAAGAGGATAAAATTCAAGTGTTGGGAACTTGAGAATTAGGCTTGCTTGAGATGTGCAGCATCATTATTAGAATTGAGAAAACCTGTGAAATGGTCCAACCTCAGGACTTGACAGTGTCTCATACTAACGTAGAATTTTGAGTCTAACTAATCTCAATAGCTAAGTAAAGAGGAAAGGAATGCGGTACTCATTATAAGGAATGATCTGGTCATATTCTTAGTGGATGTGAAATCTTAACAATCCTTGCAGCCTCGATAATGACAACTTGACACTCTTCTTATTTCAAGCATTTTGTTAAATTTACTCTCTCTAAATTTGTCTTCATGTTTTCTAGTTACGGGCCTTGGCTTTTAGATATTCACCACTTTAAGGATGCTACTATATTTTTTATCTGCACTGCCTTGCTTAGATGTTTCTACATAATGTGCTGAACTTCTATCAGTACTAATTTTCATTGATGAAACTTTTTCTTGAGAATATATATCTGGAAGCATATTGAAACTCCCCAAGATAAATGAACCACTAATGCTATTCCATGTTGTTTCTACACAGGTTGCCACCCTATCACCTAATGTCCCTGCAATGTATGAGCTGCATTTTGCAGTCCCAATGGCTGGGGCCGTTCTTTGTACACTTAATTCACGCCTAGATGAAGCTATGGTTTCTGTCCTACTGGAGCATTCACAAGCAAAAGTCCTCTTTGTAGACTACCAACTACTTGAAATTGCCCGGGGAGCGCTGAATCAGCTAGCAAAAAAAACAAAGGAATTGCCAATTTTAGTTGTGGTTACTGATTCTGATTGCCCATCTACCATTGACATTGCTTCAATTAGTTATGAGTATGAGAAGCTACTGGCTGTTGGGCATAAAGATTTTGACATAGTGAGACCCCATAGTGAATGGGATCCTATAAGTATAAATTACACTTCAGGCACCACATCTAGGCCTAAAGGAGTTGTCTACAGTCACAGGGGTGCTTATCTGAATTCTCTAGCAACAGTTCTACTTTTTCGAATGGACCTTTTCCCTGTCTATCTATGGAATGTTCCATTGTTCCATTGCAACGGGTGGTGCCTCCCTTGGGGAGTGGCAGCTCAATTTGGGGTCAATGTTTGTCTCAGGAAGGTCTCTCCAAAGAACATATTTGACAATATAACTCAGCATAAGGTGACACACATGGGAGGAGCACCTACTGTGCTGAACATGATTGTGAACTCTAAATTGACTGATAGAAAGCCACTCAATCACAAGGTGGTAGTGATGACAGGAGGTTCTCCTCCACCACCACAGATTCTTGCCAAGATGGAGGAAATTGGCTTTAGCATTTCTCACCTGTATGGCCTCACAGAAACATATGGTCCTGGTACTTTTTGTGCATGGAGACCTGAGTGGGACTTGTTGCCTCAGGAAGAAAGATCAAAGATGAAAGCCAGGCAAGGGGTGCCCCATGTGGGATTGGAGGAAATTGATGTGAAAGATCCTGTCACAATGGAAAGTGTTCCATCTGATGGCAACACTATTGGTGAGGTAATGTTTAGAGGGAATACAGTGATGAGTGGATATTTAAGAGATTTGAAAGCAACGGAAGAAGCTTTCAAAGATGGGTGGTTTCATAGTGGAGATTTAGCTGTGAAACACACTGATGGTTACATAGAAATCAAGGACAGATTGAAGGACATAATAGTCTCTGGAGGAGAGAATATCAGCTCAGTTGAGGTGGAAACAGTTTTGTATAACCATCCAGCAGTTCTTGAAGCCGCGATTGTTGCCAGGCCTGATGATCATTGGGGACAAACTCCTTGTGCCTTTGTGAAGTTGAAAGAAGGGTTTGATGCTGATGCTCAAGAAATAATCAATTTCTGCAGGGACCATATGCCCCATTACATGGCTCCTAAGACAGTCATTTTTCAAGATATGCCAAAAACTTCAACCGGGAAGATACAGAAGTATGTTCTGAGGGAGAAAGCCAAGGCCTTGGGCAGCATCGCTGAAGCCAAGGGTGTAATAAATTGTGGCTGATTGCTCAAAGTTAGTGAAAAGAAGAATATATAGGAAAGAGGTTGTACAAGATTTTCTTCCACTTTTATTAAAATGAATATAACAGAGTGATGAATGAAATTTTCACATGAATTCCAATTTATGCCACCAACGCTATGAACAAACCAAAAATTTGTTTTTACATCATGTCAAGAAACATGGCTCAGAGAAAATAACAGAACTAAAATGGAAGAAAAGTAAACTTGTATTAATATAAATGAATGAAAAGGTAGGAATTACAAGAGGAGATAGGGGGCTTATATAGCCTATGGAATTAACTAACTACTAACAATTCTAACTAATCTCAAGTACATCATAAACCTTATTAGATGTTCTTTGTAGCTCAAACTGTGGGGAGAGCAGGATACTGCTTAATATTTAGACGCATGACAAAGGGGTAGAAAATGGAACCGCAATATATATGGTTCCCAATTTTAATCCCACTGGTCAATGATAATTTGGGATCATAATAATGTGCTGTTGGTTTTCCGTCTAAATCCACGGCCAGAACTCCCCCAGCCTTCGATATAGGTAGATTCCATACATACTTTGTTATGATTGCTACTGCCTTCCTTATGAAAGGGTATCTAAATGCTAAATCCAATTCAGGAGTATAGGCCTGCCATGCACAAAAAACAAAATTTATGAGTGAACAAGACATAAAGATCCATGATTTTTCTTTGGAGAGTGATAGTTTAGGTAGTGTCATAAATCATCATATTACCTAAGCCCTTGGTTTTGGTATTAACAATTTTGAAAAAGAAAATTATTTAACCAATGCTTTAAGAGAACTAGATAAGAAATTAAACTATAATTATTTTATTAAAAATATTATTAAAGCATTTTATTTATTAAATCTTTACCCAGTCTTTACAAGACCCTTTTGAAAATAATATTTTTAATACAATTTTTTTCCCTTTCTGTTACAAAAATGAATGCTTGCTCGACAACTAATTGATGTTGACATAAATAATGAAGCTGAGGGCTACATTACCGTGACTATTGCAATCCAATACTGCCCTTGTCCATCATAATGAATGTTATCAGGCATGCCAGGTAGGTCACAAAACTTGTCTATTGTTCCTTTTTTAGGGCCCTTTATGTAATATTTATTGCACCTCAACCTGCACAATCAATGCATTTGAAACAACTTTCAAACTTATGGAGGAGTTGAGCTTAAGATCAAATTCAAATAAAGCCCAACCTTACCCAGTTAAGTCAAAAGCGCCATTTTTGAGAAATAACTTACAGGACATAACTACATACTAAAGTTGATGGTATTCTAAGCCAGCAAAAAATAACTTACAGGACAGATTCACAGAAGACCACAAAATGTTGATCTGCTGAGACTGCAACACCATTGGCAAAGTAGAGGTCTTGAGCTAGCAGGGTTGTCTTCTTTGTTGACGGATTATAGCTAAAGAATCTGCCATTAGGCTTCCCTTCCAAGATGTCTAAGACAGCATCCTTTAGTGAGTATTTGTGTGAAGCATCCGTGAAATAAATAGTACCATCATCTGCTATATCAACGCCATCTGTTAATTTGAATTTTAAGCCCTCAAACTCATTCACCAACACCTCAACCTCCTTTTCACTTGTCACTCTTAGCAGTCCCTGCATCATTAATTCAATATACCTCTGTTATCACAAACCATAGTGTACACAAGTATTAAAAAACAAAAAAAATCGGTAGAATCAAATGAAAGAATAGTTTAATTGGCAGATAAACGAGAGTTTGGTTTTACTTATTTCCAAGTTATTATCAAATATGCATTATAAAATTAAATCTCAAACATTTTCTGCTGGACTCAGGTTTTGGATAATCTCATTGCATAGTCGTCCAGCAATCATTTTCCAATTCTAAGCATATCTGTGTGTTGACAACAAATTAAAAACAATGTTAAACTCTTCTTTGTGAATAATAGATTTAATTTCTCTTTAGATCTATTTGGCTTACTAATTGAAACAACTTATTCCCTGTATTAATTGAAACATGATATGGGGGGTACGTAGTTTATCCATCTAAGCAACATTGGTCCTCATTCTAATTCGAACAGTGTGTTGTCCTTTTAATTATTGACAAATGCTAATAACTGCTTTAAATACATTAATTAAGAGATTAAGTATAATTTTATATTAAAAATTATAATTAATATGTACATGAATTCATCGTAATTTTAATACGTCTTAATATAATTTTTAGTTATTTATCAATTCCTTAAACTATTGTCATATTTGCAAGACTCTTAATTGTTTAATTAAATAAACAATGCATGGATTAAGGGCAATAGTTAAAACATATTCATGAAAACTAACCAAAAAAAAAACTATTATTAAAGCAAACCAAAAAAAACTATTATTAAAGCAATTAAAAATTTATGAGTAAAAAATTAATAATACGAGCTCAAGCTAAAATGAGTTAGCAATTATATGGTGTCGGAATGAGTTAGCATATTTAATTTGTTAAATATATCTTTTAAAAAGAATCAACAATTTATCTTTACTTAATAATACCAGCTTTCATAAATTTATAATTTAATCATCTATAAAAATTTATAAAAAAAATTTTGAGCATTCAAAAGTTGTTATTTTATATCTTTATAAGATTATATTAGTAATCATTTTTAATCTTTCTTATGCAAATCTCAAATATAGGTTATGCTTTTAAAAATTAAAAATTCTACGAGCATTAATGCAGTTTTGATTCATAATCAAAAATATTTTTAAATTAAAAAATATTGAATATTATTTTAAAATTTTAGGGTTCAATGCAAAGTCTATATGATACTATTATTTATTTTTAAAATTAAAACTTTCATATCCAATCTCATAATTTTAATTTATCATGAAAATAAACTTTTATATTGATAAAAAGTTCAATGTTATTTTAGATCCCTTTCATGCACTCATGCTTAATTTATTTTAACTTCGCTTAAGCTAACGTTGTAGAAAAAAAAATTGTTCACTAGAAGAATATTGTTTAAGCAGTTTTGGAACGCGATTTAAGAATATGTTTTTCACTTAAGTGGATAAATATTAGTTTAAGCAAAATTGATCTAGCTTAAACAAATTGGGTAGACAAAGAACTCTTGCATTTTTAGCTAAACTGAAAAAAAAATATCTTAAGTCAAAATTAACAAGATTTGTATAGTTATTATTGTATAAATTTAACTTAAACGAATTTTTGAAAGAATAATTTTTTTTGTATTTCTTAGCGTTTAACTACATCTTTTAGTTATTATTCCTGTTTTAATTTAGTCAAATTTGTTGATGAGAAAATTAAAGTAAACATATAATGTTTTTAAATTTGATTAGTTTCATTTATAAATATTACATATCCAAAGTATTACATTGAAAAAAAGTATAGTTATTTGGGTTGTTAGAGTAAAAAATAAATTTGCATACCATTTACGAAGAGAAAATTAGGTTGCAAGTGAAAAAGAGAAAATAAACAAAGCCTTAATATAGATATTTTAATTGGGATTATCTTCTTTCATTTACCTCTTAAATTTAATATCTTTTTTACCTTTTAACCTTAAATTTAAATTTTAACTACAATTGTTGAGTCTATTAGAATAGCAAAAGACTCAAACTAGCTCCATAAACAAAAGTGATAGACAATATGTGTGTCTAAGAGAATAGAATGAACGGGGTATATTTTGTTTTATTTTTTGAATGAGTAGGTTTTTTCTATATTAGTTATTTGATGATATGAATTACACCTAAAATCGTGGAGCGAATATTTCATAAATCAGATTAGTTTGTTTCAAGTATGTCAAAAATTAAGTCAACCTCATCCACAGCTACTCCTAATTATTATTCAGCTGAAAATCATAAAATGCATTGAATCCTATAATTAAGGAAGGGAGTTACCTTTTCGGCGTCACCAATTATGAGTTCGCCGTTCTGGTTCAAAACAAGTCCAAGTGGCCTTCCACCAGTGTTCACCCAATTTTCAACCACCGAGTCAACGACTGAGTCATTCACCGTAACTCGCTTGATCCACCCGTCCTCACAGCCAGTGTAAAAGACACCCGCGTCGGCGTCGTAGGCTATGTCTTCGGGTCCTGCCACGTATCCCTCTGCCACAGTTTCAGATCCTCGTCGCATGTGGTCGTTACGTGAAGGGACCGCCAAGTTGGACCGGCTCAGCTGGACCGGCAACAGAACCGGTTCAAACGGTTCGATCTGGAATAGAAGCGCAGCCACAGCCACCGGGAGAACGATGACAAATAAGGGTGTTAAAAGCCATGACCTTGTTCCAGTTCTCCCTTTTGTGCTCGAAACTGATTCAGGCATCAGAAATCTCAAGGTTCAAGGATTAGGAGAAAGTTGCCACTTGCAATCGACTTGTAACTATGATAATTTTACAACGAAATGTGAGCAATATAATAATATATCATCCTATGTAGTTCACAGGGAGAGTGTATGGAGACGTGATATCCGAAAGAAGAGATAAAATATGGAAAAATAAAGGTACTATGAAAGTATATGAATATTATATAGTGAATAAATATAATTCAATAAGCTAATAACCGAACAGTCAAAGTAGTTGAAGATTACTACGATCTGATTGCGGGTCATTTAAATAGAGACAGATGCATGTGTTTTTCTCTCCGGGGAGCGTGTAGAAGTGGACGAATCCATGAAGACAATGTTAATGTTGCTTCTTTCCACTAAATTCATCAAAATAACATCTCATGAGGTTAAGACAATTGGCAAGTGGCGTATTCTTTGTTGACAAAAGAAAATTTTATCATTATTTTTCAATTTAACTTTTTACATGAAAGAGATTACGTTTATCATGAACGGGTTTTTTAACTTGTGCAATTTGTACAGAATAAATTTTAATAAATACACTATTTAATCAATGAGAGGAGATTAAAAATAATTTTAAAAAAAAATTATAATAAAAAATAATATAAATTAATTAAGTAGTGTATTTATTGGGATTTATTCTGTGCAAAGTTTCACAAATTAAAAAAAAAACTCTATTTTAAATATACATGTTAAATAAAGCCTAGATTTATTAAATATTAATAATTTTAAAACTAATAAAGTATGTTAATTAGCAAAAATATTATAACTTCAGAAGTGATAAAATAAATCTGGCGTTAATTAGGAACTCCACATAAATAATAGAAACGATATCAAATGATGGTATTATTTTACATTTTACAGTGTTTCTTCTCTTTCAAAAAAGCAGAAGGCGAAACTTTTATAGAAAATTTAAGAAGTTATACAGGCACCAGTTTTGTATCAGGGAACTTACTTTCATGGTTGTAACTGATGTCATTACACCATTGGAATCAGGACGGCTTATCACACTAGAGTCCTCCTGGTAAAACCGATAGACCAAATCTGGTGAATGGTGAAGAATATGGTAATACTGCTCAACAAATGCATTACCAACAACTGGGGCATTGAGAGTGGTTGGACGAGTAACCCTTAATTAACTATCTGATGTTGATTTGAGTTTTAAGTAGTTTAGTATCATTTAAGTAAGGACTTAGATTTAAGTTTTTTTTATATAAAAAATCTTTAGTGGTAGGTTTAACTACCGTATTCAGGTGTATAATTTGAGTTAGATTCAAATTAAATTAGATAAAAAAAATCTGACGTTAATTAATATCCTAAATTTTTAGGAGGTGAGGAATGAAATTCATAGAGCATAAGCATTTGTCCGTGGCTATGGAATGGTGTGATCATCTCTCTTTGTAAGTACACATATTATAGGATTAGTAACGATATTTTTACAAAAAATCATACAAAGAATTTCATATATTTAAAATTTTAAATAACAATAATAAATAAAATGAGTTTTATGATTAAAAATATAGACTTAAGTATATTTTTTTATTTATATAAATGTAATATATTTTACGATAAATTTTTTTATTTTTTTTTAAGATTTAATTTTTAAAATATTTAAAAGTTAAGATTTAGTATGTGGTTATTAATTTCTCTCAACCTTATTTAACTTTTTAATATTTTATTATTTAAAATTAATATTTATAAATAAATTTCTGTTAATGAATATATCTTAAATATTTATAAAAAAGATTTTTTAAAACCTTAATTCTTTCCTTTTCTTAATGTCTTCTTCTCCTTCTTCCTTTTATGTCTTTTTTTCTTATTTTTGAGACTTGAAAATATCAACTAGCGTATTAGAGACGAGTTAAAAATTAAATTTTAATAAAATACTTCATCAAAACGTATCACAAAACATGCTACATTTATAAAAAAAAATATAATTAAGTCAAATATATATATATATATATATATATATTTAATTTTTGTATTTGTATTAATACCAATCACAATATTCTTATAACCTAAAGCATACTCCTCCTAGTATATGTAATTGTGCGAATTAATGTTTGTTTTCTGTTAGCAAAGAAAACTAAAGATATGTCAATGAAAAGCTAATAATTCACTAATTGATGGTGAGTGTCTAGGAATCCAGAGTTTATTTATTTTATAGCAAATTTAGCTAAAGAATTAACATAAAAATTTGTTTTTTTAAGGTTGTGTTTAGATGAAATAATTAAAAACTTTAAAAGATTTAAAATTTAAATTACAACATTTATTTTTAGTTTTAAAATATTTTATTTGAATAAAAATTAAATTTTATTTATTTAAATATTTTTTTTGGATATAATAATTAATTAAATTACTTATATTTTAAAAAAATAGATTTATCATTATATTTGATAATATTAATTAAAAATATAATATTTAAATTATTAAATTAACTATAACTAAATAAAAATCTAAATGAAACACACAGTGAATGAACAATAACTTCAAATTCCCGCTCTTTTGTTAGGATCTAGAATTCTTTGATTTAATCTATTAAAAATTTCCATTAAAATTTTTAAATTTTTAGTTTCTTTAAAATTAAAAATATAACAACAAATTTTAACTCAAAATTATAAATTCTTTTAAGAAATCAATTACACACTTAAAATATTTCATCTAAACTACTTTAAAAATATGATCACTAGAAATATCCTAATATATGTAAAAGAAACTGAGTCTGCATAATAATAGTACTATACTTGTAAAGAGTAGCATCATTATCATTAGCTAGATGACAATGATGCTACTCTAAGCTAAACTCAAGTTATTTAGCATGGCAAAAAAAAAATAGCAAAAATGTTATAACAATATTCAATATGGCCATGAAAGTTCCAAAGTCAGTTGTCATAAGAGTCTATCAACTCACTAAAATCACCAATGTCAATATTACTTTGAACACTATCATCATTTTGAATCACCACATTAGAAAAAGGAGGAGATCGTTGAACTAAACAAGAAGGTTGAAACCAAATAGGATGTAAGTAATGAAGAAAAGAAAAGTCTTACAATAAATATTAAATTACCTAAAGAATTGTAACAATAAATATGACAACACTTGATTTAGAACACTTATTCTTCTCTGAATACATTTTGCTATTAGATTACTATGAAAGAGTTTTTTGCAAAATTAACAAAATGAATAATCCAACTAACAACATTTACAAACATAAGAAAATTATCAAGATTGAGAAATCTTATGGCCACCAAAATTGTTCTAGAAGAGCATAGTTTCTATGCAATGCATAATGTGTTCTTCAAGTATTTATGACAACAAGAGTAATCAGAGAAAGTAACAATACGAAGTCGGAAGCCAAGAACATTCAAAGCAACAAGGTTATGAAATATAAGCCATATAAAAAATTTGATCTTTCCTAAAATATTAAGTACTCAAATTCATTTTCTCTAAGATCTTGAATAGATTGAGAAGAAAGTTGTTAACCTTAACTAACTAATTATGACCCTTTGTCACATACGTGCACAAATGAAATTGAGTTCCTTAAATGCTTGATCTTTTCTTTAAATACAAATTATTTTATACTAGAAATTATATGTTTGTTAGTTTCTATTTTTTTTAAAAAATACTTTTTGAAATTTTAATAAAAAGTATGTTTTAACAAAAAAAATTATAAAAATTAATTTTAATATATTTTAATTACCTATTTGAAAATTTAAAATTAATTTTACCCAATCTTAAAACAATTTTGTCTTATCTCTTATATTTACCAATCATCTTACATATTTTAATGGTAAAATAATTTGAGAATTTTTATTGTATTTTAAAGATGTTCTTAGTAGATATTTATTATTGTATGTTATTAATAAATTTAAGAAAGAACTTTTTGCATTTCTCTCTTTTTATGAAAGAGTTACATAGATGAATATATATAGAAAATACTAAAATGCAGATTTTTAAGTGCTTTGACATCTTTCTATCTATCACTCAATGAAATTCATTAAATAGAAAGATGAGCATTTAAAACCTAATTTTAATGTTTGAAACTTTCTCAAACTTGAATCTATATCATTCTTAGGATTTAAGAATTTATAGATTCAAGAAATGCAATTTTTACTAATTTTTCTCCATAAAAGAATTTCTTCTCTCACCTTAAATCTTCAATGATGTTTTTGTCTTGTTCTCCTTTTACCTCTTTTTTAAACTTCAAATCCTTATCTTAAAATTGTTTCTCACACTTGAATTGATAGATTTGAGTTAGTTGTGAAGGAAATATGACATTTGGTGGGTTATGGTGATGAATTTTTAAAATGATTGAATATTATAGCTTAAGTTGGTGTTCTTGTGTTTCCTTTTCAAATTCTTGTTGAATTCTTAAGCTTTTAAAATCTATTTTTATCATGCAAAGTGGTTTTTCATAGAAAAATAATTTTTTGAGTTTGAATTTGAAGTATCCAATTAAATTATAATTTCTTACCAAATAGATTTAAAATCCAATAAAATCTTATTCTAAAGTTTCCATATTATCTAATGAATAAGAACAAGGTTCAAAGGTTAAGGAACCTATTAAGATTGGTCCAAGAGTCAAATTAGTCAAAACTCTTAAATATTGAGATTTTAAATTATTTTAATCCTAATTTTGAAGAGACTTTTCTCTAACTTATTTAAGGTTATAAAACCTAAATTTAGAGACAAAAATTTATACAAAAATTTTGGGTTCAAATGATGTTTATTTAGATAAACTTAATTTAAGTTTTGACTAATTTTTTAAACCTTTTTCTTCTAATTAATTATATGATTTTTTTAGTTTATTTTTATGATTTTATTTAAATACTAATCATACACAAATAAAAATTTTCACTTAGTAGAATATTTATTTACAGCAAAATTGAAGATGTCATAGCTAAGTTATCCCTCTTAAAGGTCTTATCTAAAAATGGAGAAAGAAATTTTAAAATTCTAACAGTTTAGTTAGCTTTCAAACTGAATTTGTGCACTGCATATTTCTGACATTGTAAATATATTTTGTTATTTCCTAGTTCAAATATAGTTAAATGTTCTTTTTTTTAATTCTTCAACCATGTAATTGCTTGTAGAGGATCAATTGTCACACTTGCGATAATAATTATAATAAAAAATAATTTATTTAAAATATTTCTGTGCACCCCGTAAGTTGCTGGCCATTAGATACAGTAGTCAAGAGATGGTGCTTAATTTTCTAACATTAGAAATAAAAATGCAGACATAGGAAGTTAAATATCTTCTTTTTATTTATTTGATTCAAAGTTAAGACTATCAGAGATAATCAGGAGTGTGTGTATTTTAACTTGAAATAATAAACCAACTAAATATAAATATATTGCCCTCAAGTTTTGTAATAAATTCAAAATTAACGGAGAATACCCATATTCTTCTGTTTCCTCTGCCTGATGGCCATTTAAATTTGGCCAACATAAATTAAGTTGTTTGATAAATGGTCAAAGAAATTTGACAGCCTTTACAGTAGAAAATGGAAGAAAAGGACATTATTCAACTCTGCCCATCGTGTTTTATGACTAAAGGCCATGAACTGTGAATCTATTTACTACAGAAACATGGGTAATAAACCTATTGTTATACAATTTTGACTTTATAATTCAATTTCACTTTTTATGTATTTTGTTATTTTAGATTATTCGATTCAGTGTGTAGCATTGTCTCTAGTTTAGGGTTCAGTGTGTTATATATAATTCTCATTATTATTTTTATTTTGTTCCATAATTTTTAAATTTGTGAAAGGATGTCTCTAGAATTATATTGGATAAGCAAGTGAGTCTAATTATAAAATTTCACCTAAACACGGTTAAAATTTGTTCTAAGATTCAAGTGTTAAGAGAAAGAAACGAGTTGCAGTAAATATGATAATGTGACAAGGAACGGGGATAATATACAGTACTGTAAGAGATCGAGAGAAAGTGTATCTACAGTATTATAAGAAAAGATTATAAAATACAGAAAAATAATGATAATGACACTGTGAAGTATATGATGTAAAATTTTACATTCAGTGAATGTAATGCAATAACCAGAAAGATTAGTTGAAGATTACTATATTATGTTTACTGATTATTTCAAATACAGAGTAAGAGTGGACGAATCGACAAGCAAAATATTAAGACATGAAAACGTCCCATCTCTTCATTAAATTCATGAACCCAGTAGTTAGGGTAAGACAAGATTCTTTTAATTTGTTTTGAATTGTTTACGTCAAAGGTGTTTATGTAAATATATACATGTTAAAGGTCAATTTTGTTCAGGTTAATAAATCAAATATTTTAATTATTTTTAGTCTTTTAAATAATTATACTTAATATTAATTTCTTTGTTTAAACATTATAAAATATAATGTATTTTTTAATTTTTAATTTAATAAAATAACTAATTTAATGTTATTTAAAGGACTCATTTGATATTATAAATTTTTTAATATAAAAAATCAAACAAACTTTTAAAGATAAATTAATATTTTTTGCATTTTTAAAATTAATTATAATAATTTAATTTTTAAAATATCATTTAAGATAAATAAAATATTATTTAGTAATATAATTTAGTTAATAGACTTGTACTCCTCATATTATCTCGACCATTGCATGGGAACGAAATTGATGTATACATAACCAGATGCTTACTCCTTTGACTATCTTTAATCGTGTGCAAATGAAATTGAACTACCTTTTGTGGTCATTGTCTTTTAAGTTTGATTAACATCTTACATCTTTATAATAGTAAAACAAGTTTTGAAATTGTTCTTGAATAATAAACTAGGCCAATATCAACTCTAAAAATTATAGTTAAAGATGTCTTTTGTAAATATGTACTATATTAATAATTTTAAAATCTTTTCTCAAATTTTTGTGTATTTAGTTGTATATTTTATTGATATCATGGAATACAAAATTTAAAATTGAAAAATTTAAAATTTGAAATCAACCTCTTTATATATATATAATGTGATTGTTAACTTTCAATATATTTTTTCACATTCAATTTTATAATTATATTTAGTAACAACATTACTTTAGAAATAGGGATGGCAATGGGTAAAGTACCCGATGGGCACCCGCAAAATTTACCCACAATGGGTAGGGTATTTATCCGCTATACGGGTACGGGTATGGGTGTGGGTAAAAACTCGCAAATTTTAATGGGGATGAGTGCGGGTATGAGTATCTAAGTACCCACCCCGCCCCATACCCGCATATATATATATATATATATACTTGAACTTTATTCTACAATTATGAATTGAATTTTTGTATTATTATATTACTTATGTGAAGTTATATAAGATTAATATAAAAATATATTTAATAATAAAGTAAACCAAAAAATTTATTTTGGTTTATATTTTTAATAGAAAAATTTATTTACTATTTTATATCATTTAATTCGGCTAACACAATTTAATTATTACATATTTAATATGAAATTGACTTTTTTTAAAATATTATTTATATATGACACACATAAAATATTTTTGTCAATAAAATCATATTGATGTTTAAATCATAAAGTGAATGATAAATAATAAATATATTATAAATATTTTATAAATTTTACAATCACCTACTATTACCGTAAACTTATTATTTATTAATAATATTTAAATTTTATTTTTATATTTTAATTTAAAATAATATTTTTCTATGCAACATATGTATTACAAGCACAACTATAATTTATTGACTCTAAATAATATTATTCTTACTATTTATTCACATTCAAAGAAGTTTTTGAAAAGATATAAATTAAAAAATTATTGTTAATTTTTATTTGTTAATTTTTTTAAGATAAAAAAGTATAATTTTTTTAATATACACGTATATTTCTTTATTATAAAATTTTATTGTAACTATTTATCTTTTATTCAAATTCTTTTTTTTAAAATTTATATACATTAGAAATATTTAATTCACTAAAATAATTTTTCAAAAATTTATATTTTTGATAAAATACTTTCGTATAGTATATGAGTTAAAAAATACTAGTATTAATATATATATATATATATATATATTAATTATATTATATTATTTTAATTAAATCTATTATTTTTCTTACAATTTCAAATTCAAAAGTTAAAAAAAATATTTTATGTATCAACTTTCTATTGTTAGTATTGAACTTCTTTACTCTAACTCTATTCTCATTCTCAATGTTTGTCTCACTAAAACTTAATAACGATGAAATGTTATTCATTAGAGTTAGTTGTTAATGCCATCATAATAGGTTACTAAGTGATCCCACACGAAGGGACAACCATTGTACAGATCTATTTCGTTGTCGTTCTGACATTATCAATCAATCAAATCTCACACAAGATAGGATTATCACTGACAAATAACTTGTGTGTTTAGTTTTGCTTATTGTTTCTAAGAATTTTAGTTTAGAAAATTATTATATTAAGATACATTTAACATTTATGATCTTTGAATATTTGTTTTTTTATCTATATTTATACCTTGTTCGACAACTACATATTAAATTTTTGTATTATTATGCTACTTATGTGAAATTATATAAACATATTTTTCTTTATAAATATTTTTTTCTCAAATAAGCGCGGGTAATGGGTACAAGACGGGTATGCGGGTACCCAGAGGGTATGGGTACGGGGATTAATGTTCATACCCACGCGGGTATGGGGCCGGGTACGGGTATTTTTTTAAAACGCGGGTATGGGGATGGGTACTGTAGTACCCTACCCATACCCTACCCATTGCCATCCCTATTTAGAAATAAGTTTTTAGAGCGCTAACTTAGATAGCAATTAATAAAAACTACTATGTAACTATATATTTAGAATGCGATTCTCTATTAACTATTCGTAGATCTGAGAGCGGTTCTCTATTAACGATTCTCTAAAGTCACGTTTAGAGAGTAGTTAATAAAGAGTCATTCTCTAAGCTCATTCTTAGATAATAGTTAATAAAGAATCTCTTTAAAGTCATTAAAGTCGTTTATAAATGAAACACGTTTAGCTAATAAAGCTGGTCTTTTTTACTATAAATTTTGTTCGTCTTTTTTGCTCTCTTATGTTCTCTTCATCTTCTCTGTTAACATGTTCTCTTCGTCTTCTCTCACTAATAAATTAATTTTTTTTACATATATAGGTACCTCTTCATTCTTTATTAATATGCTCTCTCTTCATCTTTCCTGTTCTAACAATTTCTTCATCTTCTCTGCACTAATAAATTGATTTTTTTTCACCTCTGTAGATACTTCTTCATTCTTTCTTTATTTCTTCTTCTTTTTATTAATGGTGAATCATCCATTCTCTTTTTCTTTCTTTTTCTCTCTATTAATATTAAAAATCATCCTATTAATATTAAAAATAAACTCTCATTTGATAATTTTAAATTTTTATTTAACTGTTAAACAATAATTTTTACTATTTTTTATCATTTCTTATAAAAAATTATTTTTTTAAAATATTATTTTATATTATAAAAAATATTTTAAAAATTATTTTGACTCAATAAATTCATTTCTCGATGTATCTTCAAGTTAAATGAAGAATCACTGTTAGAATTTTATATATTGTTTATGACTTTCATCTACAGATTTTTTTTTTCAGGAATTTCTTACCACTTTTACTGCATATTATGAAAATTTTAAATAAATTCCTGCAAATTTAAATTTATAGAGAGTCTGCGAGAAATTTTGAAGTTTTTTGCAATTTTTTTTTGTGAAAATAAATTGGCAGAAATAATTATTATTTCTTCAATTTTTTTGACAATTAATTTGCAGCAGAAGAAAAATATATACATAAAGACTTCAATTAGGTAGGCCTAAATAAGGAGTCTGTGCAGCAGTGAGGTGATTTACCCGACTCGTTCATGTTGAGGGAAGGGTAGAATATTTCATCACATCAAAACGTATTACAAAGGGATACATAAGGGATCCACAATATATATAATTTCCAATTTTGATCCCACTTGAAATTAATGATAATCTGGAATCATAATAGTGTGCAGTTGGTTTTCCTTCCAAATCAACAACAAGAACTCCTCCACTGTCCTCTGATTGGAGTCTTCCCATATACTTTGTAACCATTGCTCTAGCTTTCGAAATGCATGGGTATCTCAGTAATAAATTCCATTGAGGAGTTAAAGACTGCAACATCGTGCAAAAAACTTTATTAGTAAACAAGGCACAAAGACTTGGTATATACTTCTTTAGGTTACTTTTGTAGAATTGTTTGGTCATCAGTGGCAATTATCAAAACATCTTCCATTTTTCGATATGTATCAATTTCATTATGCATAAATTCAAACCTTAAAAAGAAGTGATTATTTTTGTTTTCATGGTTGTTTCATTAGAAAACTTGCAAACTATGATTGTTTTAGTTTGTTTCATCGACCATTTCATTCAGACATCCAAATAAACATTTAACAAAACTTTCAATGAAACTACCCTTCTTCACAACTACATACCAATTATCCCAAGTGTAAATTATGTTCTGATGGGAGGGGATGGGAAACTAATGACACAAATGAATAATTAACTAGAAATAAAGTCAATTTTCTCCCCCTTCAAAATTGAATATGGAACAACTTGATGTAAATAATGAAGTTGAGAACTACAATACCGTGGCCATTGCAATATAATATTGCCCTTGTCCAACATAATGAATATTATCTGGCATACCAGGGAGATCGCGAGAAAATTCCCCTATTCTTCCTTTCTTAGGACCCTCTATGTAGTATTTTCTGCACCTCTTCCTTTAGAATCAGCACATTCATAAAAAAGTTTAGTCAAATGAAAACTTTCAAGAATTGTAAATGAACTTGGACTTTAGGTCAAATTCAAGTAAAGCACAAACTTTAATACACACCTAGTTGTGCACCTTAATTGACTAATTGTACGTTAAACTAGCAAAAGTAACTTACATGACAGTTTCACAGAAGATCACGAAATTTTGATCTGTTGAGACTACAACTCCATTTGGAAAGTAGAGGTTGCGGGCAAGCAGGGTTACCTTTTTTGTTGCTGGATTATAGCTCATGAATCTACCATGAGGCTTTCCTTCCATGATGTCATAGAAGTAATCATCCAAAGAGTATTTGTATGTAGCATCTGTGAAATAAATTGTTCCATCTTCTGCTACATCAACACCATCTGTTAAATTGAATTTCAAGCCCTCAACTTCATTCGCTAACAATTCAACCTTCTTATCGCTTGTCACTCTCAACAATCCCTGTGTTGTTATTGCGCCCAATAATCAAATAAACTCAAATAAAGTAATAACAAATTTAAACTCATATGAATACACACAAAATAGATTAATCAATGCATTTTATTAATATATAAACGTTATTATTCACACACACGCATGGAATTTCTAATATATTAAAACTAAACATCACCTTAATAACCTCCCTAAAATATTGCTCTATTTTTTTGCCACTGTCAATATTATCAATATAATTTTGGCCTGATTGATTGCATCACTTTAAGCATCAACGCTCATTTGAAACTACCCAACATAAGTAGCCTTAATTTAAATAGAAAATGGTCATTCATATAATTTAAACATCTTAAAGTTTTGAAATTCCAAGCTAAACACATTGTCTTAGATTTTATGTTTGAAAGCTTGTCTTAAGTGTTGAAATTCATATACTCATGCTCATTTCCCTTCCAATGTAATTGTGAAATCTGCTAAATTTGTTATCAGACTTGCCTTCAGTAGTATTGATTTTATTTGATAAAAATTAAACTGTTAATATAAATATTATGAACTTATACTAATGACACTATTACTCATATTTATAATAATAGTTTAAATTTTTTTAGAAAAAGTCTATATTAATATGTGCTAACCAAACGACATTGCATTTGTAAATAATTTCTTTTCTGAGTAAGAAGCTGCAGGTTGGTCAAAGAGGCGACTTGAGAACTTATCAGAATGATGGTTGTTGGCGCATAACGAGAAGGAATTCCATAAGCGTATAGAGGCTTGATCAAACAAAGAAATAAAATGAAAAAATTGTATTTATTTTTTATATACTTTTTTTAGTTAAAATATGATGCTACTTTACTTAAATCCTTGATTTATCATTTACACTTACATAAAAAAAATGTTTCAATATCTTTTTGATAAAGACTAAAGCTAAATTTAAGTATCTTCACGAAGAAGTATTTATAAGAGAAAAAATAAGAAGATAAAAAAAATTAAAATCTTAATCATAAGTTGAAATCAATTTATATCTTTCACGTTTTAAAGAAATTGAGAAATTTTTTAAAAAACGAAAATATAAGTAAATGTTAACTGATAATTAAAATTGAATTCATTCTATTATTTTTATCTATTATAAGTTTTTATAAAAAAATTAACCCAAATTTGCCTAATTCTATAGAACCTACGTACCTTAATTGCATCTGCAACCATGAGTTCACCAGTTTTCTCGAGGGCAAGTCCAAGGGGTCTTCCGCCGGTGTTAACCCAATTTTCAACCACTGAGTCAGCCACCGAGTCGTTCAGTGTGACTCGCTTGATCCACCCATCCTCACAACCCGTGTATATGACACGCCTCATTTTATCATAAGCCAAGTCTTCGGGTCCTCCCACCTTTCCCTCTGCCACAACTTCAAATCCTTCTAACTTGCGCAAGTTATGAGCCAAAGCTGTCACAACCATAACTATTGAGAAAGCAATTGAAAATAACAATGTTAAAAGACATGGCCTTGATTTTGTTCTTCTCTTTGCGGAGTTTCGAAAGTAAGAGTAAGTTGATGAAGAATAAGCTATGCCGATACCACTTGACAAAGACATTCTATAAGGACAATAATTCTACGTTACTCAAAGAGGCCTAAATAATGAATTTAATTTTAATCCATGAAGCATCATGCAGGTCCACGATTTTCAATTGTAATTTACAGTGACAGTTCAATAATATTGTAGTTTTTGAAGTCCTTAGAACCACATTACCATTGCAATTATAAAAATATCAGTTGTATTTATTTGTTATTTTTCACAATTTTATTAAGTATTAACAACACAATAGTAACCATGATTTATGTAGCTTTGAAGGATTGAACATGTTGTGGATTTATTCTAAAATATGATACGTCATGTTCATAAATAATTTTATTAGTATAAAAAATTGATATATACTATTTATGATAATATTTACTATCACTCTTATTCATTTATTATCATTTTTATTTAAATAATTCGTGTATAAAATGTTGTAATAATTAATTCGATTAAAAAAGAAAACAAAAGATATTAGAATAGAGTAAATACGAGTAAGAAAAGACATATTAGAATAGATAATAAATAATCCTACTATTTATACATCAAATATTGATATAATGTATTATACTTAAATGCAGACTCATGATATATAGAGTAACAGTTTAATTTCTATTTAATAAAAGATAAATCAACAAGTTCAATCTTAGCGCCTAATATTTTTTTACTGATGATTAATGATCGACATTTTGAGTCATTGGTTTGTAAGAGTTTTAATAAAAAAGAAAAAGTTTGATGGGTAGCAAGCAACATACGAGTGGACAATATTGTGTCACGAAATGTTGATTTGGTAAGACTACAATTCCTTTGAGAAAGAGGCTGTGGGAAAGTGGGGTGACCTTTCTGTTGCTGGAAAATAGTTCATGCATCTATTGTGAGGCTTGCTTTGCATGATGTCAGAGTAGTAATCATCCAAAGATACATGCAATAAATAAGAAATTAAAAATATAAAAAATAAAATATTTTAAAAGAAATCAATCAAATTAAACAAATTAATGAGATTGTTATTAATTTTCACAGTATTGAACTAATAATAATAATAATAATAATAATAATAATAATTTATTTTTAATTAACAATTAACATAAAAAAAACTAACTAATGACCGGCCTATAAATGGAGATTGAAAAGTTTTGAGAAAAGGATCTTACTCCTTAATATAAATGATATATACAGAGAGAGAGAGTGAGTGATTGTGTACGATAAATAATACCTCTAGCATAAAGGAAAAAAAATCTGAAATTGTGTGTCTCCCTTATACATTTATTTAGTATTTATATATATATATATATATATATATATATATATATATATATATATTGCTATTAGTATTTACACTTTAAAATATATACTTTATTGCTAACTAATATAACGTTTCTTTATTTGGTTTTCCACTAGCCCATTGAGGGAATGTTGAGACGTAATAGCCGTAATGTTTACTTTTCAAAGGTTTTTTTATTTTATTATTTTTATTGTTTGATCTTTGTATTACATACAAAATGTTACAATTATTAAAAATTAATATTTATCTTTTTACCTTCTTATAATTTTGAAAAAGTTAAAATATTATGAAAAAGAACAAAATTAAAGAGATAAAACTTGAGTTATAAATTTAAGCATATAAATAAGTGTATTGAAAATGTATAAAATGAAGTTATGATTCTCTATTTTCTTTAATTTTATTCTTTTTATTTTTTATTTATCTATTATAATTTTATGCTAATTTTATAACATGTTACCTTAGATTTTAATAAATATTTCTAGTCTTATAGTTTTTTAAAAAAAGTGCGATATTATTTAGTTTTATTTTTAGTATGAAAATGTATTATTACTTATTTGCTTTAATTTAAATTATTATTTTTATAAACTTGTTTCTACAGTAAAATTTACTTATAATTTGGAATTTAAAACACCGAATTATTATCTATTATATAATATTTACCTTCTTTATTATTAAAAAAATTTAATGTTTTATTTAATATATATATATATATATTTTGATCATCACAATATTTAGATGATATTTAATTTTATTTTATAATAATATTAAATATGTCAAATCTTACACACTTTGAATTTATGAAACTTGACATTACAAAAAAAATTATTTATCATAAGTATTAGATGATGAAATTCATTTAGATGTGAAAGGTCTTGAAGATATTATTGAAGAAAAAAATAAAATATTTAATAAAGATAAGGTTAAAGTTGTGATATTTCTTTATTATTACCTCTATAAAGGTTAGGGAAAAAATAATATCTCACAATAAAAAACTCACTTATTCGTTAGAATAATTTAAAAGACATATATGTTCACAACAAAATAGTCATTTACAAAAAGTTTGTTATGATTGGAGATTAGATGCATTTATGCTTGCAAGAATTTAAATTTTTTAATAAATATAATTTTGTATTATTTAGAAATCATATCTCAATTAAAATTATGTGGAGAGAAAAGGTTACTGATAAGCATATGTTAAGAATAAACATTCTCCACTTTTTACATCTATGATGTTCTCATATAATAGCAATTTCATGAAAGGGTTTTAAAAAATATTGAGTTAATTTTTTGTCTCCATGTGACTAAATAAAATAACGAGCTTTTGATAAAAAGTCATGAATCCAATCTAACTAATATTGCTCTATTTCTGTAATTAAATGAATGTAACAACTCATGACAATTATAATTATGAACAAACTTACATTCATATTATATGCATAGTCGTAGTCGTAACAATAATTGTGGTCATAGTAATAGTCATGGATATGATCGTGGCAATACTAAGAAACACATTTTGTTATTAAAAATGAAAACATGGTGAAAATTTTGAAAAGAATAAAGATATTCAAAGTAGAAAAAATATGAAAGACATGTTATTATTGTAGAAACAACGATCATTGATGTTTTATCTATTCTACACCAAAGTATCTTAGTGATCTTTACCAAAAATGACTTAAAAATAAAGAAAAAAAGATTGAGACAAATTTTGTTTGTGAAAATAATAATTCTAATGGTCATATAGATGTTGGTCACCTAGATGTTGATTTTTTTTATTGATCTAAATGAAAAAATCAACTATCTTATTGGAGATGAAAGTATTGAAAATTAAATTTATCATACTTTCGTGTTATTGAGTTATTATGTGTTTCTCTTATATATCATTTTTTATTTAGTGCATTTTTCTACAAAAAAAAATTAAAAATAGTAATGATTAAAATAAATTGTCAAGTGTTAGAATTGTTCTTTCACTAATATTGTTATCATTTAAATTAAATTATTAATATCATCATTGTAAGTAAATAAATTTTAATTTTTAATCATTTTTAGAGTATTTAAATTTATTTATTTATTTAACTCTAGTAATAAAGACATTTGTCTCGTTGATAGCACAACAACTAACGTATTCTCAAAAATAAAAAAAATATTCTTTAATTTAGTAAAACAATAGTCAATGTTATTATTATATCAAGTAGTACAAAGATTATTAAATGCCCTAACAAAGTTAATAATAAAATTATACATTGTTAGTCTATTATACTCCACTGTTGAGTTCTTTGAAGACATTTTTCAAGAAAGTCCTATAAAATTAGCTATATACAAAATTTCTTTAAAGGGGAAAATTAATTTATCCAAAGATAATATAATCCTATTAACAAAAACTTTTGTAATCAATCATCCTAGAAATAACATTATACAAGGTAAATAAATCCTAATTCTTCAAATTAAGTTGTCTACTTCACTTTGAGGATAAGAATAATCAAGATCTTTATAATTAAAAATCAAATAATTCTTTATCGAATTCATTTTAAATGAATCTTCATAAACCATTCTTAAATATCTTCCAATAAAATTTATAGAAGAATGATCGAAAAAAAACTTATATTTATTCAAAAATTATATTTAATGTCATTCTTATTTGTGTTTCAATAATTCAAAAAAAAAATAAAAAAAATGTTAAATATATAAAATTAAATAAAATATTAACCTGTTTAATTTATACTAATATATTATTTTATAATTTCTATTTATTCATCTACCCATGTTTATTAGAAATAAAAAATATGTCCTCCCATTTTCTTTCTTATAAAACTCAACTCCCAAACATAATAAGATAAAATAATTTCATTCAATTGCCCCATTTTATTTTTAATTAGCAAGATTTTTAAATATAACATATTTGTTATTAAATTAAAATAATTTTTTAATAAAAAATAAAATCTATAATGTAATTTTTTAAATTAAAAAATAAAAATATATTTATTATTAATAATATATTTTGTTATATTAATAGAACTAAATTAAAAGTAAGAATTTCTAAAATTAAGAATAAAACAATCCCTCTTAAGGTATTTTTATTTTAAATAACACCTAAAAAAATCAGCAATTAAAAATAATAACATATTTAATATATAAAATAGATAAATAAAAATAATAACCTATTTTTATTTTTAATATACTTTAGTGCTTATTAAAATATTAAAAATTATAAAATTATAAGAAACTAATTTAATTGAAATTGAAATTTATATAATTTTATAGTAATTATAACCAATAATAACAATATATTTAAATATATATTAAAAAATATATTAGTAATAAACAGCTAATAATAATAAAAATTTATTAAAAAACATTTATTATATTTTTATAATTTTAATATAATAATTATATATTTTTTTATAAATATTTTTTATTTATACATACTTAAATTCTGTTTTAAAAATTGAAATTAGCGTAATTTTATTTTTTATTGTTAAAATAAAGATATGGGTGTTGTCCGATGCTACGCGTATCCGTATGGCACACGCGGCAAGTATGCGGAGTCCATGTGCATCGCTGGCAATCTCTGGGGAGGGCATGTTCGACACGGAAGGGGCAACTTCCGCAGCCCAGTTTTGACGTTTTCTGGCTTAATTGTCAAGGATAATGGAACTTACACGGTCATTCAAGGACTTTTGTTATGTTATTAATTAAGAAGAATTATATTATTTATATAATAGATTAATGCGTTTTGTAACAGTCTTTTTTATTTTTTATTTCTCATGCCTCTCTTTATTGTATAATTTTCATACAAAACTTGTTGGTAAATCAGTAAATACAATTTTTCTATAAAGAATATTTAGTTTTGCAGCAAATGGTTTCAAATTTTCACTATTGCAACATCCTTGCGCATTATTGATGAAAAAAATCTTACATAGTTGAATACTAAACGTTGGTACTTAGGAAATTAAAATAATCCCATTCCAGAGGGCTAGCAAAATGTTCAACACAACTATGGAGCTGGTGGAAATTTCAAACAAGTTAGCTAGTTTCTACCCACAAAACACGGAATTTAAAAATAGGTAGTGTTTCCGTTTGGTATTTGAGGCTAGGTTCTCTGGTAATATACTGAGTATATTATTATTTCTTTTCAACTTTATTTTCTAGGATTGTAAGAATACAATGCTTATTATTGAAATGATTTACTCAATTTTATTTACTACTTTTTTAATTGATATTAAAATTGGTTTATTTGATTTTTATGAAGTCATTATTTATTTTAAGTAATATTTATTAATTTTATACTTAAAAAAACTTATTTACGTTAAAGTAATATGAATGTGACACAAGTTTAATTTAAATATATTGATAATGTAAAAAATATTATACTAACATTTAATCATAATTTTCCAAATAAAAAAATTGTTAACTTTTATAACAATTAATATAAAAATCGTATTCTTTTTTGAGTGGGTGACGATGTAAATTTTTACATAAACGATGTAAAACAGTGATGGTATATTGATAAAAACACAGAGAAACATAAATTAACCATAAAGATCAATCAAGGATTCATTCGGTTTCTATTTAATCCTATCATATAGCTATGAATTGTGATCTCCTAGTTTTGATAGGATAGATGAATTGGAGACGATGCTTGATGTCCGTATCATGAGGGACCTGTGGAGCAGTATTGGGAACCCTGGATTCAATCCCTCTAAATCAGTGTGGATGCTCACATGTACTAAATATCTATTAACACTTTCCACCATTCAAATATTTTTGCAGAAAAAAAGGGTAGAAATCCTCGCTTGCCAGTTTCTCATTTTATTTGAGTAAAAAAGAATTCCCTTATCTATGAAAATTGAGTAATTTCTATCAAAATTGAGTGTAAGTTATAATTAAAAATAGATAATTATTAATATTACAAATACATTTTAAATTAATATTTATGACAAAATTTATTAAATTATTATAAAATTTAAAATTGATATTAAAATATTTCTATAAACTTGTCAAATAAAAAAAAATATAAAAACATAATAAAATATTACAATCTTAAAGAATAGTTTAAATCCTAACAGAGCAATCTTTCCTATATTGTCACCAAAGATATGATTCTTGAATATATCAATCTTCTTTAATTTCTTTAATTTCATTTTTTAAAAATAATTAGTAAGAGTCATATTTTCCACTTCACCAAATCTTTTGTTTGATGAAATAATTAAATGATACAAAAAACGTTATCTAGCCTAGTGTACACTAATTGATGATAACTCATGGATTATGCTAACAAATTTACAACAGATCAAATATTAGGTCAATCACATTTTTTAATATTTTATAACATAAATTTCTATATTGATCAATATGTCATAGTACATGTATTATATCACATCAATCAATATGTCACAAAATGTGTTATAATCTCACCCGTCGATATATTACAACACATATATTATAATCATACCAACCAATATGTTACAACACATATATTATAATCATACAATCACTTTGTTATATCACATACATCACAATTTCACAATCATTGCCCTTAAAATCTCTTGAGGTTTTCTATAAGTATAGATAGTTGTTAGTTAGCCGTAGTACAACATGTATCAACTTAATTCCTTTTAATAAAAATATGATCAGGAATCTAAGTCATGAAATGAGTGTAAGACTTGTGATACTTTTATTTTTACTTTCATTAGTTATGCACAATTAAAGAAAACATTCATATTTTTATTTCTCCTAAATTTTCAAGATGTCTCTGTCATTCATACTCTTAATGTATCTCCGTAACTATCTATGCACAATATGCGTTATATGATAAAGAGTTAAGAAAAATTAAAAACATATCTTAACCGTTAAGATTCAAGAGATTTGTGGCAATCTTTGAGTCGCTATATAAAACACAACTAAACACAAACTACTTGAAAAATAGTAATATATGTGAAGATTCTTCGTAGTGGATTCAAGCAGTGCTAAGAAAATTTGCTTTCTTAGTAGATAGTTTACATAATTGCTAAGAAAGGATACTTTTCTTAAGTATTTCATATTTTAACCACGGAAAAATCATGTTTTTTAATTATTATATTATTTTTCAAACTTTCCAAATTTATAAATAGCAGAATACCTAAACAACAACAATTAAACTATACGACAACTAGATTATAATTTATAAGTAAAATCTAATCTGCATAATTCATTAAATGAACTATAAAGTTACAAACTCATGCTTTGTAGGTGAAGGCACTAGTGTCAACCTCCACAAAATAACTCCCTAAACATATCATAAGCACTACGTTTGAATCAGAAGAGAAGATAAATAAAGGTGAATATTTCTCAATTGTTACTTTTTTTTTAACTAAAAAAGGTGAATATTTCTTTGTTAACTTCTATTTATCTGCTTAAGAAAAACCTCTCTTAACATTGTTTCCAACAACCGCTAAGCAGTTGGTGTTATGAAAGCTCCAATTTGTTGAGCATTTAAAATAATTTTCGTAAAACTTATTTACCCTCTTCTTAAATGAAAATTCTTAGCAGTTTACACAGTAAATTATCAAGAAATTGTTAAGTATGTTTTTTTTTTTAAAAAAAAAAAAAACTTATTTTAGCAATGTCTTCATCAATCGTTGAACAATTAGTTTCAACAAAGTTTTTTTTTTTAGCATTTACAATAATTTAATGAAACTTATTTATATTTTCTTAATTATGATATAGACATTTTTTTTAAAGATTATAAGTATCCTCTAATGAAACCAATTATGTTCGAGCACAGTAGAATCATTATAAGTAACGAAGATTTTCTTAAATATTTAACATAATTGTATTCAATAAAATTCAAACTCAAGACTATGGGATAACCTAAAACAACCATACGCTTGGTGATTAATATATTATATAAGCTTAATTGAATTTGTAATGCATTTATTTTGGATTATATGCATATTGCCTTAACATTTTGCAAAATTAATTATGCTTTTCTAATTTTAAAAGAAAGCAAATTTAGTCATTTAAATAATTTTTTTCTATTTTAAATTCTCAAATTATTATATTGTCCATCCAAATATTTTGATAATTTATGACATATCTATCGTATAAAATAATTTGGAATTTTTATTAGTAAAATGTTTAGTAAAAATTTGAAAAGATTCTATATGTGAGATTAGCATTTAAATAAGAAAGATTTTAAATTCATTTTATATTTGCTGAAATTTATGTTTAAATTGGTAAATTTTAAGTGTAAGAACGTTTAAAATAATTTAAATAATTCAAGTTGTGAACATTTTAAGTAAAAAAAAAAGGTTGAATTGTTTACTTAATGTTAATGAAAATGCGCAATTGATTACATTAAAAGATATTAATACACCAAAAAATGAACTTTAATAACGATTGAAAAGCCTCTACTATATCAGCTATGTATGATCGTTGTAAAAGGTGGCTGCGGGGTCTACAATTGTACTCTCTTCCAGATCATGCAGTGTCAAAATTAATATTGCATCACAAAGTCAGAGACAAGATTAAGATAACAACGTGAAGCAGCCAATTTTGAAAATAAGAAAATAAAAACATAATTAGTTCCATCATAGCCTATCTATAAATATGTTGATCATCCTAGCGAAACACATCATTCGCATCATACATCAAATCTGTCCACCCTACAAAAATGGGAAACATGAAATTGTCCTTTTTGGTACTATGTTTAATAGCTTTCACACTTGGAGCCAAAGCCGAGCAATGTGGTAAACAAGCTGGTGGAGCTGTGTGCCCAAATGGCTTATGCTGTAGCGAATTTGGATGGTGTGGTAACACTGAATCCTATTGTGGAAAAGGGTGCCAGAGCCAATGTAAACCTAGTGGCTCAACACCAAAACCAACACCCTCAACCCCAACTCCAAAACCTAGTGGTGGAGATATTAGCAGAATCATTAGCTCCTCTGTCTTTGATCAAATGCTTAAATACCGAAACGATGGACGCTGTGCAGCTCATGGATTCTACACCTATAATGCTTTCATTGCTGCTGCTCGCTCCTTCAATGCCTTTGGCACCACCGGTGATGACACCATCCGCAAGAGGGAGCTCGCGGCTTTCTTGGCTCAAACCTCTCACGAAACTACAGGTTTATTCATTAACACTTAGTCAATAGAAAAATTCATTAAAATTTACGTGAAATTTATGAATTAATTGGCCACATCAATTGAATGTGTGTGTTTTGAGTAGGGGGGTGGCCAAGTGCACCTGATGGTCCATACGCGTGGGGATATTGTTTTGTAAACGAAAAGAACCAAGCAGATTATTGTGACTCCAAGGATTGGCCATGCGCTCCTGGTAAAAAATATTACGGCAGAGGACCAATTCAACTCACACAGTAAGTCACCCTCCCTACCATTTCAAACATTTCATCATGATTGTACTGCCACAAAACTTGTATGTAAATATCTATCATCATCAAAAAAAGGTTCCCCTCACATGGGTTATCTTTGACAAAAGTAGTTGATAAATTAACGGAAAGTTAGAAAAATTGCTGAAAGTCAGAAAGGTTAATTTATATTTATATAACTTTTTATTTTCATTAAATCAAAGATGAAAATTTCTATTTTAAAGTAATAATAATAATATTTAATCACACTCATTTGTGAGTGTTTATATTATAATTATAGTAGGGTAGCATGTGAGTGGACTAATGGACTGTGTTGAACCATTGTAACAGCAACTACAATTACGGGCAAGCTGGAAAGGCAATAGGTGAAGATTTGATAAAAAATCCGGATCTAGTAGCCACAAACCCAACCGTTTCATTCAAGACAGCCATTTGGTTTTGGATGACTCCACAGGCAAACAAGCCATCAAGCCATGATGTCATTACAGGAAGATGGACGCCGTCAAATGCTGACAGGTCAGCGGGTCGGGTCCCCGGATACGGTGTGATCACCAACATAATCAACGGTGGACTCGAATGCGGGCACGGGCAGGATTCTCGAGTCGAAGATCGGATCGGGTTCTACAAAAGGTACTGTCAACTGTTGGGAGTGAGCCCCGGAGACAACTTGGACTGCAACAATCAGAGACCATTTGCTTAAGCAATTTGCCCTCATACGTTCCACAGAATAACAATATATTGCATTTAATAAAAAGAGTGCAATGATGAACATGTAACAGGAACCTTCTTGCTAAAGAAGTTCCCAATTATCTTGTTTAAATAAAATGATTTCATATTTTACCCTTTCCTTTTTATGACTAAAAGAGTTTCCCAATGGCCATTAATGACACTTAATTAAGGTTTTAAAACAAGATAATTCTTAAGTTACATTAACTTGTAAATAATTATAAGATTTAATAATAATTTATAAGTATCATAACCTTTTACGAGCATTATACACATTATATAATTTTTTTTCACATTTTAATAAAATTCAAGAATAAATAAAATTTTAGTCTCGAGATCCTTTTTTTATAATTTATTTTTATAAGTAAAAAGAATTGTATATTAATTTTAGTATAAAAAAATTATTTTCAATTTTATCGTTATCGTACGTTATAACTATGTTAGTTTTTTTCTTTTAATTGAATTCAATGTGATATGTTTAAGTTGTTTTTAAGTTTTTATACAAAATATTTTTTATAATTTAATTTTTATAAGTAACAAAATTATACATCATTTCTTATATAAAATATTTGTTTTGTAATTTAAATTTTATAAATAAAAAATTATATATTAGTTTTTATACAAAATTTATTTTTAATTTCATCCATGTTATTATAGTGACATTTTTATATTGGATTTTTAAATTAAAGATCAAATCGATTTTTACTTTATACATTTTTAATTCATAATATTTAATTTTATTATAAAAGTTAATATTTTTTTTAGTTTAAATTTATATAAAAATTATGATGTTAGAATCTAATTTTAAGATACGAGACTTGAGTCAAAAGTATGAAATTATAATATGAGATTTATAAAATATTGAGATCATCAGGTATAATAAGTAAAAATTGTGTAGTGTAGTTATCTCAAAGTTCTTATCAATTGTTATTAAAGTATAATTAAAACTAATAAGCAATTTAAGCATGTTACCTTCGATAACTCTTTGCTATAATAATTAAAAGTTTAATTATTTTAATAATTTAAAATTAATTTTATTCAATTTTAAATTAAATATCGTTACCGTGCCTTGGGCGGTAAGAAAGGATAATTTTAGATTTTTATATGAAGGAGATAAAAACAGAAGAACGGAAAAAGCACAGCTTATTTGCATGCTTTCAGAAGGAAGGAATTAAGGAAATATTGTCAAACATAAAACGTCACAACCTTAACAAGATTTATACTTTTCTTTCTAGCAGGCAATCTTACGCATTGAGTTTATGCAAGCTTTGAACGACGAGTGTGTTACTTTCTAGAAATTTTGGTAAAACAATTATTCTATTCCATATTTTAGTGAAAGAAAAAGAAAAGAATATTAACTAGGTGCATGCTCAAAGGATGAGGATCATGTCAATGTAAAATTGGAAAATACAGTGGAATATTGCTCAAACCATTTCCATGATTTCAGGTAATTGATCACTAGAAAGAGCTATCCACCGACTAGTCAAGTCAACGGGTATATCATAAAATTAGGATAATTGTGGAGAGAAAGAAAATATTATAGTATATTACAATTCATATGGACTAGTATTTCCTCTCAGGGATTTGGTCAATGGTCAGAAAGTTACGCAAACATTACCCAAAATAGAGAGAAAAAAACCTGTGTTCTTTGTCTTCCAAGCATTCCCTCCACATCACGTTATTTGATACTAGTCCAAGAGTTTGCCTCTCACACATAGGCCACTTAACCCAACTGCATAAACAAGATTTGAAGCCACTCGTCTGCTTAACGTAATAAAGCATAATAAATGTAAATAAAAAACCTTTTTTTTTGCCTCATTGTGTAACATTTTACGATATCGGTAACGATTAAAAATACAGTTCATAATATGAGTATTTACAAAATTCACCTTTAATTTGAAAATATACGATATATTTCATCTATGTTTATATTCTTCAACTATTCACCAGTTTATATTGAAATTAAGGTGTACATGCATACGATTTCCAAGGAAACGACTTGGTCACATACTTAATTATTTTTAAAATTTTATGAAATGTAATATATATATATATATATATATATATATATATATATGAAAATGGAATATAATTAGACAATCAAATATGTACGGGATAGGGAAATTGATGGACCCTACATATAGAAGAAAGGAAACTGAATACCTAGTCTAAATCAGTATCTCTAAGTTTCAAAGATAAATGATAATTAGAATTTTATCTAAACCATGAAAAGGGTTAAAAGTCAGAGTTGACTCAGGCCCATTAGCCCATTACAGTGTCTATAAAAGAAAGGTAGAAAGAGCATGTAAAGGGTTGACTCTTTATTATTGAATATCATTTATTGCTCTGAGCCGAATCCTAACTTCAACATTGAAGTGCCTTTTGCAGGTACCCTCCTACATCAGCAATTGTCAGAAGGACACCAGAGCGAAGGTTGAAGACAGTCGTTTCTCAAGAAGGAACATTTTGGCGCCCACCGTGGGGCAGAATTGACTTCATTCATCAGGATTAAGCATGGTAATGATGAGAAGCCAGCAAGAAGGAACCTCTCGGCAACAAATGGAGGGCATCACGCCAGAGGAACCAGTACCTGAAGTGGTGATGCAGGGAGGTACGGAGGAAAGCATTCTAGCTGCACTGAGGCAGCTTAAGGCAGAAATGATGGAGATGAAGAAGGAACGCGAAAGAGATGCACTGGAGCTCTCGGCCTTAAGGAGGGAAAATGCTGGCTTAAGGGAAGAAATAAGGACACACATCCCTTCCCAAACGACGCCTTTCATCCAAGATCAAGGGGAATCCTCAACACTGCAAGACAAATCAAGGGAGGTCTATCAATCGGCAACCAGAGATGACCAGGACGACCTTGTGAACCGGAGCCCGTTCATTCACCGCATTCTGGAAGCCAAGCTGCCCGATAATTGGAGAGGGTTGGCAATAGACAAATACGATGACACATCCGACCCCGAAGAACACGTGGATATCTTTACAACGCAGGTCGGTCTGTACACAGAAAGCGATGCCTTATGGTGCAGAATTTTTCCTACTTCACTCCGAGGACCTGCGCTCAGTTTGTTCACCCGACTCGCCCCTCTCTCCATCGACTCGTTTACAACTCTCACAAGGCGTTTCAACTTGCAGTTCGCCACAAGCCAGCCCCATTCCCTAACATCCTTGGCCCTAGTCAATATTCGCCAAGAGAAAGGAGAATCACTTAGAGCGTTCATGGAACGCTTTGGCAAAGTGACTCTCTCAATTCATAACTTGGAACCAGCAGTAGTTATGCACCACCTCACAACAGCATTAAAGCCGGGACCCTTTGTTAATAGCCTCTGCAAAAAGCCCCCGATCGACCTAGATGAGTTAAGGGGTCGGGCTGCGAAGTACATGCAAATGGAAGAATTATCTGAATATCGGAGCCAGGTACGGATGGACCAAGGATCTAACTCAAAAGATATAGAAGGAAAGGAAGCCTTTAAAGCAAGGCGGGGGAACGACAGAGGAAATGAACTTGAGCGACCACCTCGGCGACCGAAGTATCCGTCCTACACGACGCTCAACACTAATCAGGCCAGAATACTTGATCAAGCGTTGGCCACAGAAATATTGAAAATGCCTAGACGCGCTAACACTCCACCTCGGGCAGATAAAAGCAAGTCTTGCCGATACCATCAGAACAGGGGTCACACTATTGAAGAGTGTACGGCACTAAGAGATAAAATTGAAGAATTGATTAAAGGTGGATACCTAAAAGATTTTGTACAGACAGATCCCACAAAGCAATCTAACAGAGGAAGAGATCGTCACCCTGATTCACCAAAGAGATTCGACCACAAAAAAATTGAACGACACAGGAGCAGGTCCAGAGAGCCCCCAGCTAGAAGATTTGAAGAAAAGTACCCGAAAAGGGTCATTAACACCATAGCCGGAGGGTTCGCTGGTGGAGGACCTACCCATTCGGCTAGAAAAAGGCATCTTCGGCATGTCCGTTCGGTCAATAATGTTTCATTGGGCAGCAGAATTCGGATCCCGCCTATTACGTTCACTGACGACGACTTTCAGGGAGTCGATCCGGTGTAGGATGATCCCATGGTAATTAGTGTAGACATTCTTAACTGCACTGTTCGAAAAACACTAATCGACCAGGAGAGCTCGGCCGATATCCTATACTGGAATACATTCAAGCAATTAGGCATCGCAGAACAAGAGCTCAAGGAATACCATGAACCATTGGTTGGGTTTTCCGGGGAACGAGTAGAGACCAAGGGATGTATTGACTTGTACACCACGTTTGGATCAGAACATGAGGGCAAACGCATAAGAGTCACTTATCTTGTAGTACACGCAAACACATCTTATAATATACTACTCGGCAGACCATCCCTGAACAAAATGAAGGCCATAGTGTCCACTCCGCACTTGGCCATGAAATTTCCGTCTGAAAGAGGCCGAATTGTTACCGTCCATGCTGATAAAAAAACAGCCAGGGAATGTTACTTTGCAAGTTTACGCCTTAAACCATTTCATGGGAATAACCGGGATGTCAACATTGTATTCCCTCGGTTGGAAGAAGAGTTGGATGTTGAACTTGATCCTAGAATGGATGCGGAATATCGTGTCAAGCCCAATGAAAACAAACAATCCTTCCAACTAGGAGCAAAGCCAGAACAAGTTGCGTATTTAGGGATCGGTTTGAACGAACAAGAAAAAGCCGTCCTCCAAAAGATGCTAGTAAATAACGCCGATTTGTTTGCTTGGATAGCCTCGGATATGCCTGGCATTGATCCAGCATTTCTTTGTCACCACTTATCGGTCTATAAAGGAGCCAAGCCGGTAGCTCAAAAGAGGAGAAAAATTGGTGGTGATAGAGCAAAGGCAGTAAAAGAAGAAACCAGCAAACTAATACAAGCTGGCTTTATCCGAGAGGTCAGGTATTCAACATGGTTAGCCAACATTGTCATGGTTAAAAAAGTCAGTGGCAAATGGCGAATGTGCACGGACTTCACGGACCTCAATAAAGCATGCCCAAAGGACGCATACCCACTACCAAACATTGATACCTTGGTCGATGGTGCAGCCGGTCACAAAATACTAAGCTTTTTGGATGCTTATTCTAGG